TGATGTCTGTTTTTATAAATAAAGTTTTATTGGAACACAGCCATGTTCACTCATGTACATATTGTCTGTAGTTGCTTTCACACAACAAAAGGCAGAGTTGAGTAGTTGGGACAGAGATTGGCCCACAAAGCCTAAAATATTTATTGTCTGGCCACTTACAGTAAGTTTGTCAACCCCTGCTTTAGTATATAGGAGGCAATCCATTAAGTAAGAAATGTTAACTCTTCCATTAAATGGGCCCCTTGACCTCCACCACCAAATGTATTTGAGACACATCTATCGTGAAAAAAACATGACCTTAATATCTTCAGCTCTTTCCTCTTTTAACTGCAAAACTTCTGGAAACACAGGATCTGGTATACAAATTCCAATATCTTGCTTCCAGCCTTCCCTCACATCAGTCCACCTTTCACAGTGGGGCCAGATGAATCTTCTTAAAACACTATTGTAATCCTGAACTGCCTTGCTCCAGGTCTTCCACTGTCTCCCTATTGCCTTGATATCAAATCTATTGGCTCTTAGCTTCTTAGAGCCAGTAACCCAAGCCCACCTCCTCAAATCAAACTTAGCTCCACTCCTACCTGACAACCAGGGCTGGGACTAGAGTGCGGTGAGTGAGATACTCACCTCGGGCACAAAAGTTAGGTGGGCACCAAAAACCTCAGTAATCAGGATAAATAATATCTTGATGCAACCTTTTAAAAAATCAAAATTAATGCAAAAAAGATCTATGAACAACAAAATATCCAAGTTTTAAACAAAGTTTTTCAGAATTAACCACTACCTGCTCTGCCTCTCCACCCAAGTTCACAGATTCTTTGACATGAAAAGGAGGTAATCACCCAAGACAGCTGGCCAGCTGTCCTCTGCCTGGGTGAAACCCATAGATCTCAAGAGAGTTCATTCTGAATGTCCCACACACAGTCCCCTTGCTACGCCGCCAGCACTGACAGAATCTTAGCTTTTATTAATGAATACATAAGGTTTTGGCTTTGAGGTGTGAAGCCGTCTGCGGACTCGAGAGCCACAGCGGCTTTCCAGGTCTTATCATTTTCCATTAGCAGCAGAACCTCTTGACATGTGCTATATCTATATCTTGCCATGTTGGCCATTCTTACACCCATCACAATTTTCACAGTTACACTGGGTGACAGTCTCCATGTGGCAGAAGAGTCTGACTCTCATATTTAGTTCATTCAACAATGACCTCAGCTTTGTGTCTATAAAATAAAGATGCGGAAGGCATGGTCTTTGTTGTCAAGGAACCCACAGTCTAGCGGGAAAGGTGTGCAGAGACATATACTCAGACCAACGTTGCTCAGTGAAAGGAATAAATGAGTCAGAGACAGAGAGCCGCAGAGGTTCAGAGATGGCAGCAATGCCACCAAATAGATGCAATCAGGGAGGAGGCCTTTGACTGGGCCTTAAAATACGCAGGGATGGGGGAGGTCGGCAGAGGTGGGGTGAGAAGGGTGGGTGCATTTTAAGGAGAGAAAAAAGTGAAACAAAAACCGAGAGGGGAGGAAAGAGGTTTGTACAGTTGCTGCCTAAGAGGAAAGAGCAGGTCCAACAGCTTGGGCCTTCTCCGAGCAGCCTTCGGCTGGGTTACAAGACTAGAATTTCCTTTCTACCACCACGGGGTCCATTGTTGGACTAATGGTGTTTGTCTCATCACCATAAAAATAATTTCCAAAAGGTGCTAAACATTGCCTCTCCTCACTCAGAAGGACAGGGAAGCCATTCAAGGCCTTTTTTTTTCTTTTAAGTCATTCTTTCCCTCAACACTTGCTTTGGGTGAGGAATCTGCTGAGTAGCCATGTCCTCCTCCCCAGGGCCACGTGCCTTCTACCACTTGTCTGACCTCATCAAATTAAGAGCCCTGGTTCCCTCACTAAAGGAATTTCAAATGTAAGACAGTAGCTGGACAGAGATCTTTTCAGACAGAGGGCCTTCCAGTGAAACTGCTTGGCCTTAAAAATCTTTATCTACAGATAACACACTGGGCTGGGTGAGATGCTTTTTGAGGAACAGTGACACTAACAGCTGTACACTTACCACATTTCCTGGGCAAATCCCAGCTTAGGGGCCCCACATCCTCTCCCCGCAGCAAACGTTATAATCGACATGGAGTCCAGCTTAAAAGGTGCTGCCACGTCCTGAAAGCCATTCTTGGGGGGAGGGGAGCACCGTTGCCAGGCCCCTTCCTGAGTACAGCTGTGTACAGAGTGCTAGGGCCTGCCCCTGAGAGGCCCTGGGGACACCAGAACTTTGTACTCTGACAATGTTCAGCCACCCATGCTGTTCAACCCTTGTTCCCACCCCAGAAGGACCCTCCCCCTCCCTCTCCTGCTGTGCTCTCCTTCCACCCTGTGCTGATTCTCCTCCCTAGTAAACACCCCTCTCCTCTCCAGAGCCCAAACCCCTCGACCATGGGGCTAACAAACGCCTCCACACCTCAGCCTTCACCTCCCGCAGTAACTGACACCTGGCTTGCCCCCCTCACCCCCCACCTCAAGGTCTCGGCTTCCCCACAGCCCTCTCCAGTGCAGGCTGTTCATTTTCTCACACTCCACAAGCTCAGAGTCAGGAGGTGGACTCACCAGCCTCCCTGCTCCCCAAGGCCTCATCCACACCATTTCCCCTCCACTCTCAGGTTTAAGCCATACCTCAGCCCATGCCCACCTTCCTCCTGGTTACTCCCCTTACGTACCAAAGGCTTTGGCAATGAGCTCACAGCCTTCTCTTCCGACTGCCGCCACGATCCAAAGTGGCCTTTGCAATGGATCGATCCCGCACCCTGGGCTCTCTGTTCCTTGACCTCTCCAAAGACCTTCCCCTCCACTCCATTTCGGCCACGCCTTCCCATGGGCAGAACCTCTTCCTGATGCCAGGAATTCAGACATTGCACTCCCTTGTCATAATCTCCCAACCTTCTGGCACATTCATCCAGTTACTCCCATCACACTAGCACTTCTTCCTCAACCTCAAATCCATTCACTTTTCCACTTTCTCCCAGTCTACCAGCCCCTTTGGCCTCATGTCACTCACTCTCTATCCAGCTGGGACTGCATATTCCATCTCTTCAATCACTCTCTTGTTCAACTCCTCAAAATTACTATTGTCTTTCTGAACCCCAACCCTGGATGAGCCCAACCGCCTTTTTCTGAGCAGACCCCACATTGAAGAAAAGAACACAGCCCAGGAGACTGAGGACTCCAGATCGATGGCCATCCACCTCAGCTGGGCCATCTACACTGCCAACAATTTCTCTGTCTTAGTCCCATGGGGCCGGCCCTGAGGAGCACAGAGCTCTTCGAACCTAACCCTAACCCAGCTCCTCCGGGGCCTGAGCCACATTGCCTGCTCTCTTCCTTCTATATGGACTTCTCCCCCATCCCAGAAAGTTTAAACAGCACTAAACAAGTGAGGGTGCTCTAGTCTCTCCCAACTGAAAAACAAATAAGGGGCCAGCCCGGTGGCGCAGAAGTTAAGTGCGCGCGCTCCGCTGCGGCGGCCCAGGGTTCGCTGGTTTGGATCCCGGGCGTGCACCGACACACCACTTGGCAAGCCATGCTGTGGCGGCGTCCCCTATAAAGTGGAGGAAGATGGGCACGGATGTTAGCCCAGGGCCAGTCTTCCTCAGCAAAAAGAGGAGGATTGGCATTGGATGTTAGCTCAGAGCCGATCTTTCTCACAAAAAAAATAAAATAAAAATGAAAAACATATAAGCCCTCTCTTGAGCACATCTCCCTCCAGCTATTGCCTCATCTCTCCTCTCCTTCATAACCAGATGTCTACGCTCCCTGCCTCCATTTCCCCACTTCCTTACTCCTTGACCTGCCATCATCTGGCCCCTGCCTCTACCATGCCACAACTGTTCTCACAGGGCCACCGCTGGGTACCATACAGTGTTGCTCTGACACAGCTGACCCTCCTTCCTTCCCTATGTTTCTGACATCACACTCCTGTTGTCCACCTGCATCTCAGCCCCCTCCTCCCATGACGCCTGAGGTTGGAGCTCCTCTAAGATCTCTTACAGGCCCTCTGCTCTCAAAACTTCAACTCCCATCAAACGCTGATGCCTCACAAATCTACATCTCCAGACAGGTTCATCCAACTGCCTATGAGTTCTCCACTCAGATGCTGCAGAGACTGCTCAATCACTGCAAGAGCCAAATTACCTTCTCTTCAAGTCACTTCTCCTCTGAGTCCCTCTTCTCAGTGAATGGCATCCCCATCCATCCTGTCCCAGGGCAGACCTGGGCCCAGCACACAGTTAAAGATCAATATTTGCAGAATGAATACACGAATCCTTGATCCTCCCTCAGTCTCCACAGCCAATCAACAAGACCTGTCAACTTTACCTCCTACTATATCCCTGTGCTTCTTTCTTAATTGAGGCTGGCTGCCTCCGACGCATCTTTCGGAAGGCTTTCAGGACCCCTCAACTCCGGTGGGACAGGGATCTTGCCGGGTGTTCCCACGGCCCGTGACGGCCGCGACACGGTGCAGATCACAACGTACGGTTCGCTGTCCCTGGTCTGTGACACCCCCACTGAACTGGGAGCTCCCTCTCCATAAGCGCTCACAGCCCAGCACCCAAGAGGCGCTCGGTAAGCACTAACTGGACGGAGTCAATCAACGGAGTGATGAGCCCAGCGTGCCACGTGGTCGGCGGCTAGAACCCCACCACGCGCCTGACCCTGCAGCTTGCCGGCTCCGTTTGCGCTTCCGGCTCCCGCCGGCAGCCGACGCGGCCGGCGAGCGCTCCGCCCCTGTCCCACGCGGCGCTCCCGGCGGCCAATGGAAACGGTCCGCGGGGTTCCTTCTCCACATGCTACCCTCAGGCGAGCCAATGGACGCGCCCTGCGGTGAGTCCCGCCCCCGGCCCGCGCCGCGCTCTGTGTGCCCGCCAATGGGAGCGGCCAGCGTAGCCCTCAAGGGGGCGGGGCGCGGGGGGTCCCGGGACGCCGTGCGGGCTCGGAACAGCTTCCCACGTCGGCAGTCCCTGCGAGCGCACCGTGGGCTCTTGTCCTACCCAACCGACGGATGATGGGGGCTCTGAGCGCATGGCGCGGCCTGGAGTGGCTGCTGGGCCTCTACTTCCTCTCCCACGTCCCCATCACCCTGTTCCTGGACCTACAGGGGGTGCTGCCGCGCGAACTCTACCCGCTGGAGGTGAGGGCGCCGTCGGTCCTGGCCGCCGGTCGCCGAGTTTGGGGCCCCTCCGCGCGCTGCGGTTGTGCCCTGGAGTCCCCATGACCTCCCCTCTTCTGCCCTCACCCCCCCAAGGGTTCCAGTTCTGCCCCCCTTCCCTCTCGCCTTCTTTAGGTCCTGCTTCGGCTCCTCCTCATCTTTCAATTCTGCGTCTTCCTCGAGGCCTTCTTTGCCCATCCCAGACCCTTCCCCTAAGCTGCTGGGGGCAACACTGGTCCTTTTAAAGACAGTTCTTCCCTGGGTGTGTTTAAGGCTCCCACACCCCACCTCTGGTCAGTTGTCAGTATTTGAGGGAAGTAGCCTGGATGAACCAGTGTCTAAATCACGTGTTGGATTTGTTTGAAAGTTGTGTTTTTTGGAAGAGCTTTAAAATACCGTCTAATCCCAAAGAAATAATCCAAGTAGAATTAGACCCTCTAAAGGGCATTGGCAGATCGTCATTACTTCAAGATCAGGATCCAGCAACTTTAAAAGCTCAGAAGTAAATTAACGACACCTTTTCAAATCGGCCCTAATTTTAATTGGGTTCGAGTAAGAGTGATCACCTGAGTGGAAATGGAGGCCAAAAGCCTCATTTCCTGGTTGTTGGACAGCATTCTTTACCCCCAAACGTTACTTTAATGCTTTTTATTTCTTCAGAGCTACAGTTTCATTTTCGCTGTCTTTTCATGTCTGGACCCTGTAACCTTCCATGGAATCCCTGTCCTCAGTTCTGTGCTCCTCCAATCGGTCTGTAGAACCATGGGCAAGGCTGACTTGTCTACCTAACGATTTGATTTTGCCTCGGTTTCTCCTTAAATGCTTTTTCTCTGCAGAGCAGGGGTTCTTAACCTTAGGTCCATGAACCTCCATGGTGTTTGCAAAATTGTGTGTGCCTTGTGTTTTCTGGGAGCAGAGTTTATAGCTTCCATCAACTTTTCCAGGGGTCTAACCCTCCCCGAAAGGTTAAGAGCCATGGTTCAACAGTGTACCCCCACTCCATAGTCTTTATTTCCTTCTAAATCCAAGCATAACTGGGAAGACCTCTGACCTACCTTTTCTTGGGAAAAGCGTAGGTTGTGTGACTGCAGTCTGCAGTGACTTGGTTCTTCCAAGAGCTGCTTGAGTGTCTTGGGCAAGTCAGGGCTCTGTAACGTCAACTGTCAAGTAGGAGAGAGAGAGTTGGGTTAAATTACAATCCCAAACATACACAGGGTGTGTTAGTTTCCTATTGCTCCTGTAATGAATTACCAAAAACATAGTGGCTTAAAGCAACACAGATTTATTTTCTTATGGTTCTCGAGGTCAGAAGCTCGAAAGGAATCCTGCAGGGCTGGTTCCCTCTGAAGGTCCTGGGGGAGAAATCTTGCAGTTTCTGGTGGCTGCCAGTGTTTCTTGGCTTGTGGCCACATCACTTCAATCTCTGCTTCTGTTATCACTTTGCTACCTTATCTTCTATAGTCCAGTCTCTCTCTGCCCTGCTTTTGTAAGGACACTTGTGATTGCATCTAGGGCCCACCAGCTAACCAGGATAATCTCCCCATCTCAAGATCCTTAACTTAATCACATCTGCAAAGTCTCTTTTGCCAAATAAGGTTGCATTCAGAGGTTCCAGGGATTAGGAGGCAGATATGGGGGCGGGGGGGGCCATTATCCAGGCTACTGCACAGATCAGGGTAGTACATACTCTTTCTAAACAGGTCGGCACAGCTCTGCACTAGTCATTAGTTGCCTTGGAGAAAGGAGAGCCATGTCTGTGGGTTTCAAAGTCTGTGTGGCCAACAAAATTCAGGCAGGCTGCCTGTTTATAATCTCTGATGTTATGAGTCCCGTATTACTGAGCAATTATGTGCCATTTCAGACTTCACAGCTATTGATTTCTTTTTCCTTTCTGCATGTGCCACGCCCACAAGTCCTTGCTCACCACTCACAAAATACAATTAAAATGTGTCCAACATCATGAAGACCCCATTTAAACTTGTATATTTGACTTGGTCAGGTTTTCTCAGCTTTGTTTCTTTGATGTTGACTTACTGTAAAAGGTCAAGGACCAGTGCAGGCAGGGTCTGGACAGGCCCTGTGTGTGTCTGTGTGATGCTGATGCTGTTGGAAGGCCTGTGTCTCTATTCACTCTTGTTGTTTTGGGGTGGAGAATGATGGTTTGTTGCTCCTCTATGGGGAAAATAATAATAATAATAATAAAAGCCTTGAGGGGCCGGCTCAGTGGCATGGTGGTTAGGTTCGTGCACTCTGCTTTGGTGGCCCGGGGTTCACGGGTTCGGATCCCAGGCATGGACTTACACACCGTTTGTCAAGCCATGCTGTGGCGGTGTCCCACATACAAAATAGAGGAGATTGGCATAGATGTTAGCTCAGGGCCAGTCTTCTTCACCACAAGAAAAAAAAAAAGCCTTGAGTTATTTTCTGATTTTTTTTGAAAAAAAAAAAAGCCAAAATTTAACATCTGTTCTGTTTTTCCTCTCTAAATAGAAGGAATTTTTCCCTAGAACTAAAAAGCTTGTGGAGATCACCTAATGGTTGTGCTAAAATTTGCATATTAAATATCTTTCTTGGTTTGAACCAGATCAACACTTGGAAAACTCTTACTATGAAACAGAATTTAGTTTGGATTAGAACATGGAGAGAATGGGAAGCATTTAGTAGTATCATTTGCAGCTGGGTAGCATTGCTTCTGTTAAAATAAGGAAAAGCGGGTGAGCATCAGGTCTGAAATCAGTCTGCGCTCCATTCTAAAGTAGAGAAGTGCAAAATTATTCAGTAGCAACTCCCGGTTTAGAAATCCATGTGCATAGGCCAGGTGAATATTTTAATGGTAACAATGGTAAGTTGAGTCAAATGTGAGTGAGGTATAAATGGAAACCGTTTTTATTACCTTTTTGGGGTCTTACCTAATAAGAATAACTCTTAATGACCAGCTGCATGCTGAGATTTTAATAGGATTAAACTTGAGCCTTTCCAAATATGTATTAATTACATTCAATTAAGTAATCTTAACATTTACTGTGTGCTAGCCATTGTTCTAAAGACTATATAGGGGCCGGCCTGGTGGCACAAGTGGTTAAGTGCGTGCGCTCCGCTGCGGCGGCCCGTGGTTCACCGGTTCGGATCCTGGGCGCACACCGACACACCGCTTGTCAAGCCATGCTGTGGCGGCGTCCCATATAAAGTAGAGGAAGATGGGCATGGATGTTAGCCCAGGGCCAGTCTTCCTCAGCAAAAAAAAAGGAAGATTGGCAGATGTTAGCTCAGGGCCGATCTTCCTCACAAAAAAAATAATAAATAAAATAAAGACAATATATATTAACTCATTTTATATTACCAATGGTGAGGTAGGTACTATGAATGGGAAATAAGCTTAGTGAGATTAAGTGTTTTGCCCAGTGCCAGGCACTCTGCCCCAGGTCCCGTGCCCTTCCCTACGCGGGGCCTGTGCCTTGCCTTCCACCGCCCTTAGTCTGGGCCTCGTTCCAGCATCAGGTGGCTATTATATGACTGGGCAGGTGGTTGGGTCCTAATCGATTTAGAGAGCTGGCTGATTATTTCAAATTTTGCTAATCTCCTGCAGCCCTTAGAAATTACAGTGCTGCCTGGATTTATGAAATAGGTGGATCTGAGAGATTGTATACAAATTGAACAGAAAATGAAGTTTGAACCAGAATGCTTTTTAAATTCAGTGGTGAATCTTTTAAAGCAGGTCATTCCCTCCAGCATTTTTTTAAGTAAATCTAGAAAACAAAAACCAATCTTAACATTTAGTCCACGTTGCTTGTTTTACAGATGAGGAACTCGAGCCCAGGAGAGGTGCAGTGACTTAAACTTTATGAATATTTCTACCACATTACCATCCCGACAGGTGCTCAGAAGGAAGCTAAGGGTATTGCTGTGAATTTAAATTTCAAGTCAAGTACAAATTAGAGATCAGTTGGTCGATAAATTGGTTATCTAGCCAGAGCCTTTCTGAAATTAATATTATGCTAACAGAATGTTTGTTTCTGGATATTTGCTTAAAGCCCACTCGCAGCAATAAGGCCTCTATTTCACAATAGTGAGCCTTTATCTTTTGATTAAAAATTAACAGGAAAGATATCTTCGTATTTTCCATCGTAAGCCAGATTCTTACTTTGGAAGTTGCCTTTATTTATCGTAATGTCAAGACATGTATTTGGCTTTGAAGGCAGGTATGTTGAGACAGCGCCATCTCCAGGAAGTTAAATGTGACAGACCTTCAGTGGTCCACATGGTGGGGAGAGCCCTAGGCTTTGGGCTCTGGAAAAAAGCACAAAATGGGCGGCCGCAGGCCCTCCTGCTTCCTTCCTCTGCCTGTGGCCATGTCAACGTGGATCTGCATCTTTTGATTTGACAGTGTAATTCTGACGGTGGGGCCCAAGCTAGGACCGAGACTGCTAACTCTCAAGCCTTGCTGTAGCCTAGAAGTTATATAGTTTGTGGTTTGGGGCAGAGTTTGTTGTTTTACAAACATCCTGCTGGTCTCTTAAAAGAAAAAACTTTAGAACCAGGGGAATTAAGAATGATGAGGGGGCCCTGCCCAGTGGTGTAGTGGGTGGTTAAGTTCTCGTGCTCTGCTTTGGCAGCCTGGGGTTCAAGGGTTCAGATCCCAGGCCTGGACCTACACACCGCTCATCAAGCCATGCTGTGGTGGCGACCCACATATAAAATAGAGGAAGATTGGCACAGATGTTAGCTCAGCAACAGTCTTCCTCAAGCAAAAAGATTAGCTCAGGGCTAATCTTCCTCACCAGAAAAAAAAAAAAAAAAAGAACGATGAGGAACTCGAGATTTGGGGGTTATTTAAATTGTCTAGGGCCGGCCCAGTGGTGTAGTGGTTAAGTTTGCATGCTCCGCTTTAGTGGCTCGGGGTTCGCAGGTTCGGATCCTGGGCGTGGATCTACACACCACTTGTCGAGCCATGCTGTGGCAGGCGTCCCACATATAGAGTGGAGGAAGATGGGCATAGATGTTAGCCCAGGGCCAATCTTCCTCAGGAGAAAAAGAGGAGGATTTGCAACGGAGGTTAGCTCAGAGCTAATCTTCCTCACACACACACACAAAAAAAATAGCTTCTTTTAAATTGTCTAAAAGTGCATCTTCACAGAGATTAGATTTACCTCCCTTCCACCCCCCACAAAAGACAAGGGCATTCCGTTCATTTCTGTTGAGGAAATCTGGCCCTCGGAGCTCTGTGTGCAGTTGCTGCTGTGAAAGGACAAACATCAGGATGGTTTCCACATCTGTCATTTTGTTTATAAAGAATGATATTGTTGGCAGATGTGTCACGTTTGTGTCATTAGGAGCCTACTAAGTGCCAGATATTGTTGCTCTTGCCAGTGGGCACCACACCTGGATGTGTGTCATCACAGAGTCAGGAACAAATGCTGGGTAGCACAGAGGGGCTGGGAGAGCTGAGCAAAGCTTCTCAGAGAAGGTCACATTTGAGGTGGAGCTAGTGAGTTTATTAAATGACCACCTAGGCTGCATCACAGAAGCCAGTTGGGTGTGCCACCTGCTGCCAAGGGGGCTAGGTGATAAAAGACTCTTGCAATGGGTTGGAGCTGCTGAGCCTGTCCTGCCAGGTGGCTGTATTCATCGTGATCTTTATCTTTTCCCAGCTGAGAAACATGCTGCAGTGGTATACTAAGGAGTTCAAAGACCCTCTGCTACAGGACCCCCCAGTGTGGTATAAGTCCTTCCTGTTTTGCGAGCTTGTATTGCAGCTGCCTTTCTTTCCCATTGCAACGTACGCCTTCTTCAAAGGTTGGTAAATGGCGGGGGAAATCCCATTTCTGCTCTGAAATCAGGTCCCAGAAATCTTTTGGGAAAGTATCTCCAAGGGAGAGGGGAGTGGTCCCTGTAGTTTGTGTGAGGGTGATATAGGATCTTGTGGGAATGGCCAGGATAGATCTTCTAAAGGGACGTTAATGTGGCTCTGGCTAATGTCTGTGGTCAGCTGGGCAGCATGACTGCCTCAGTCAACTGGAAATCTCTCATACACATGACACCTGAGGCTACTTAAAGGTTGAATTTGTTCCTTTTTATTGTTTTTCCCCCCATGGAATTTTTTTCTTTTATTGTTGGCTTTTATTTTTCTGCTTTGGGTAGTATCATACTGGCTTATCAGCAGTAACATCAAGCTGATCCCTAAAGGGCTTAACTTCTCATTTAAAAATTATTCTTATGGTGTCCCCATATGACCAATGCTTTCATAAAGGTGGCCAGACCAGTGTGCGTGGTTAACTAAGCTTGTACAGCTTATTTCGTACTGGAACCCCCAAATCCATCTCCTGCCAGAATCTGTTGATCTTCTCACTTCTGTATAACTACTTAACAAACAGATGCCACTGGCAGGCACCCCCGACTTGTAGCTTACACCAAATTTAACTAATGGCCGTTTTCCTACCCTAGAGTTTTGTGAATTGAATTCTGACCCTCACCCTTGTTCTTTGGCAGGTAGTTCACTAGGGCCCCAGCTGTCACATAAGTTTGCGTGTTATAACATCCGGTTTTCCATTTGTCTCTACTTGGAAAAGGAGGTAGAATGATTCAGCTGAAAGGAGCAGGCAGAGACAAGGTGAATGTTGTGGGCATCCTGGAGTCATGAACAGACCTAATGCTTATCTCTTTCTCTTCCCCTGACAACTTCAGGAGGCCGCAAGTGGATCCGCACCCCTGCGATCATCTATTCAGTTCACACCATGACAACTCTAATCCCAATACTCTCCACATTTCTCTTTGAGGATTTCTCCAAAGCCAGTGTTTTCAAAGGACAAGGCCCTGAGACTTTCCATGAACGACTAACCCTCATATCTGTCTATGCCCCCTACTTTTTCATCCCTCTTCTGATTCTGCTTTTCATGTTGTGGAGCCCCCAATACAAATATGAGGAGAAAAGAAAGAAAAAATGAGAGAAATAACCACTGGCCCAAGGGTGAGGTGCCCACAGGGCAGTTTCCTGTTGGACCCAGTACAGGGAAAACTGTTCAGAACCCATGTCTTCAGTAACATGAAACACGCTAGCAGCAACACCCAAGATCAAGACACCCGGGGAGCCACGTCAAACCTTCACCTTCCAAGCACACTGGCACAAACAGACCAATCACCTGAGGATGGGCAGAGGGGTACAGCTAGGTGATAGGGAAGTGGTGCCAAGTACCTCACTGTGTGCCCAAGTTCATTGCAGGATTACTAAAAGCAGGACCAGACCAGAAACTGGATAAACTTCCAAGAAACATGGCCTGCATGGCATGTGCATGAGTCACTTGACCCACATTATACATGTGACTAAATGTATAGAGACTCATGATTCTCCACAGCATATCACTAATCAGCAAAATGAATACTGAGATGTTTCAGGCCATTTTTAAGTTTGAAATTATGCCACCTTAATATTCATTAAAAACTATATCATGTTTTCTTGCCCCCATCCCTGGGGGGAAAAAAATTCTGCAAGAGATTTAAACTTAGTTTTCTTTAATGCTCAGGCCTGGCGTGACCCTCAGTCAGAAACAGGTTAAACTGGAAGGTGTTTTGTTTCTGTCCTAAACAGGTTGGCCCAGGAGAAGAGATTTTTTAAAGTCGCCCTTTTTATCCTCTTTCCAAACCTTGTCCTATATTTTTATAGACAACCTGACATAAGTTCCTTTACTCTGAGGTCTGGTGTCTCAAACCTGATCTGAAGGTGTGCTTCCTACTGGAGAACTTCATCCTTCCTAATGGTTTAGTCATTCCTTCCCATCTTGTTCTCAGTTGAAGGGGGTGGGGGGGCAGCTGGGCATGACATGTCCAGTGTGTACATACAGGGTCTCTTCATGTTAGTGCCTGGTGCTCTATTAGCTTTCTCTAAATTCGTACTCAAGGCCAACCCCCCAAAAAGACCTGTGAACACACAGGGAAAATAGTAGAAACTAGTCCCGGTTAGTTCCCTCTTTTTGCCTGTTTTGCTCACAAGCCACACTGGTCTGATTGTTGGGAGTATCGTCTGACCCATGTGTCTGATCCTGATCCAAATAAAAGTAGTTGCTGACCACTGTCTGGTTGGTTTTGTGGGCTAGGGGCTCGCGAGTCCAGGGGTCTCTTACAAGGGGTTATATGTACACTTCAAGGGCACCAGGAAAAGAGGTAGATGAAGCCATTTGAAAACAATAATTTATTGCTTTTCCTTCCAAAGCTTTGTGAATTTACAAAAAAAAGGATCAAAGTTTACAGACTGCTCAGTTCAGACTGAGAATGCACGAGGTGAGAACCTGGACCACCACAGCCACTGGGTGTTCGCCAGCAGATATGCACTGACATCTGAAACACGCTCCCCAGGTTGGTTTTATTGCCTTCAGAGATGCTGCATTCCCTACACACCATCTCACGACATACTTGGGTCATTAGTCAAGTCACTGGAATGGGACAGAGGTGTTTTGATTTTTTTTTTGCCCTCCTGCTATAAAATGAAATTTTCATCTCATTTCTGAAAAATAAATTGGTCAATAAATTCATTTTGTTCTGCTTCTACTTTACACAAAGCTTCATATTCAACCCGATACCTGAAAAACAAAATTGTTACAAGCCCTAAAAATGGATGAAATAAACCATGGACTTAATTCTTCTAGAGAATACAGATGAGTTAGATGATTTGAAGAAACGGTGTGAGTTCAGAATGAAGAAGTTAGTGAAGGCAAGAAGGAAGAAAGTAAAAGGAAACACCCCAGGGGAAGTCCCCAGCCCTGAGAGTCTTCCTTTCAGAGAGCCAGCCAACTTTGTGGACACTCCCTGAGCGTTCGTGCTCTCACACTCCTAGAGCTTGTTTGATGTTAACCCAATTTCTATTTCCTTCCCATCAAATGTAATTTTAATTTTGCTTTATTTTTAAAATCTTCAAGTAAGGATGACAAGTGAGACACTTCTGGGAGAACAATGATGAATAAGGACAAGAGGTGACCATTCAAGAAGGAAAAAGAATTGCAGTTGAGTAAAGGACTTGCTTTACGTCATAACTTCTTACCTTTCGAGCTGCATTTTCTTTTCTGCTATTAGTGCCTGGAGTTGCTGCTGTTGGGCTTCTCTCTGCTTGGCTATGGATTTGAGCAAGTTCCGAGCACCAATGGCCTAGAAAAATAGTATTGCCAAAGAAGGTCATGGCTTCATTAAATCCGTCTTCAGCATTAAGTCCTCACCTGGGGAAGGGCCACTTGGGGGCTATCTAAGTGCCAGTGGGGAAAAGATGGCCAAGCCCCAGAGCTTCTGGAGGAAATCTGAACAAGGATTAAGCTCATGATCCCAAAATGCCTGATGAGAACTAGACCACAGCTCTGAGGCACATCTAGGAGCGTCCCCAGAGTCTGGCACACAGGTGTTCAGTGGCCCATTTGGTGGCCATGTAGCCTTGTGTCCTTTGCCAAGTCATCTGCACACCTTCATTTCTTCACTTATAAATGAGGATAAAACCGCTGATCTCAGTGATGATGTGAATTTTAAAGGAAATAATGACAAAGTGGACTGGCGTGTAAGTATTTATTAGGTTAACTGGACGAGAATTTGTTTTTTATTGAGGTATAATTGACATACAACATTATATTAGTTTCAGTTGTACAACAGTGAGTCTATATTTGTATAGGATTTGTTATTTAAAATCTTGTTTTAATTAAATAAAAGAATCCCGACCCCACCCCCAGCAAAAAAAAAAAAAAAACCCACAAGAGGGCAGAAGGATGAGAAGCTAGTGAACCACGGTCCCAGGCCAAGATTTAGATAAAAGACATGCTGATCTTACCTTCATCTTCTCATTTTCTGCTTCTTTTGCAAGTTGGTCAACAAGCTCAATTAAACCACCAACTATTTTCTGAAACTGGCCAATTTCTTTTGGGGAAAGAACAAAAAACAAAATGTTTTCTTTTCTCAGCATCATCACTCTCCCTCAGCGTTCCCTTGCAGTGAGAGGGCAGGGCTAACTGCCCCTTCTAATTTCTGACCAGTTTGGTGCCTGCTGGCCTCAAGTCTGCCACCCTTGGGCTGGACCTAGAGAAGGGGGGCCAGGTGGCCAGAGCTGGACTGAGGCAGACTTGGACCTTGAGTCCCCACTGAGCCAGCCAGCTGCTGTTACCTCGAGCTGTGAAGGCTCCTGTGGGCCCATCCTCTGGATGGACCCCATCCTGCTTTCTCAGGAATAACAGGAAGCACAGAGGGCCATGTTTATGAAAGGACTGCCTCAGGACATGGATGCTGCCTCTTGACGAGCCACAGAGAAGACGCTAGATTTCAGTTAATGCTGGGGTGGGGGCTTTCCACCTGTGACCAGAGCTAATAAAGAGCTCAAAGCATTTAAGTGCCTAATCTCCCATTCAATTTTTTCAATGTCCTTGGGTGTGGTGGAACCCCACTTTCCTGAGGGGTAAACTAAGGCCCAGAGAGGTGGGACAAAATGCACACAGCAATCAGAAAACTGGCAACAGAACTCACGCTACCTTTTACCAGTCAAGCTCTCTCCATAGCCTACAGAGTCCCCAGAAGGCTCACAAATCCCTGCTCTAGCTAGATCTGCTCTGTATTCACTGCCATTGGGCTTGCTTGACTACTGGGACAGGACGTGTCCTGGATATCTCTAGCTCAAAAAAGTGACTTCATCGAGTCTGTTGAGCTGCTTCTAGGAGCACCAGTTAATCAACTTTCACTCCAAATAATGGCAAGCCTTCCACTGAGAACAATATTCCTCCCAACAAATCAAATCGTGAGTGTATAACTCTCTTTCCCACTCCCAAGCCATGGTTCTGTCCCCATGAAGTTTAAGGTTTCTGAGAGCAAAAAAATCAAAGATGGCATATCTAAAAAAGCACCCTCCTCTCCACATTCCAGTGTATGTTTTGACTGGTGCTCTGTGTGGGACTCCATGAGGGCATAAGAAGAGGGTGGGGAGACAAGGTGGGTGGCACATGGGAATTCATAAAGGTCAGGCTCAACCTCCTGGGAGCCAGCAGCTCCATTGTGCCAGGGCCAAGAGCTGCAGGTGGGGGCGGGGCTGCGGCACAGTTGGAACAGCTCAAAGCTGAGTGGCACCATGTCTCCCCAAATGACACTCACTGTCCACAAAGTCCTTGCACTCTTCCTTGAGCTCTATGGTCTGCTGGGTAACCTCTGGGTCCAACACCCGCAGCTTGTTCAGCTCATCAAAGTGCAGCCCTGCTTCACCCAGGATGTCCTTGGCCATAGCTGAAAAGAAACCAGCCCCAATCCCCAATCACTTCCCCGCCACCCAAGGAAATGCCTGCTTCCAGCCCAGCCCCACTCCTGCCCCCAGACACCAATGCCAAAAGCTCAGATGTTCCAAAGGCTCCCCCTTCCCTCTGCCTCCACCTCTCTGAGCCTCACCTGTTTCCCTTCCAGCTTCCCTAGAGGAGAGAAGTTCTGCTCTGAAGGGTGACAGTGGCAGCCAGGAGGAGATGTGTCATAGGAGCAAGGGTCAGGAAAGAATAAAGTCCGGTTGCTTGTCACAGGCATCGTTCATTCAACACACATTTCTTGAGTGCCTACTACATGCCAACACTGCTAGATGCTGGGGTACAAAGATGAGTGCACCATGGTGCCTGCCCTGGAGGAGCACAGAGTTTAGCTGGAGGAAGACAGACACGTAAACTGAAAAATCACACTGTGTTAAGTGCTTTTGCAGAAATATCACTCAAGCGCTGGAGGAGAACAGAGCAGTTAACTTGGGATGAGGCAGTGACATATGAACTAAGTTGTGAGCCATAAGCATATTTATTTACCCTCAGTTATGTACCCAAAAGGACACGAAAAAGCTTTTCAAATACAATACTGGAACAACACAAAAAGCAAGTAAAAGGGAAAATCTCAGTGAATTAAAAATTAAAGTTAAAAAAATAAGCCAGGAGTAACAGTATTACCAAAATGTATGCGACAGGACACTGTACACGTGCCTGAACTGGGACCCAGAGTTGGGTCAGTCTCTTTCTAGCAGAAAACAAAAAAGAATGAAGTATCAGCAAGAACATATCAAGCAAGGAGGCCCGAGAAAGGCATTCCAAGCCGAGAAAACAGCATGAACAAGAGCCTGAAGTCACTGAAAGGGCCTATCCTGCCTAGAAGACGACAGGACAAAGGATGGAGCTGGAAAGGTCGGTTGGGGCCAGAGCAGAAAGACCCTGTGTGCCAAGCTAAGGAGTTTAGGGGCTTCTTCTGTAGGCAGGAGAACCAGCAGAGATATCCTCTCCCTTCCCAGGCCACCTTGCATTCCTGTTCCAAAGGATGCCTCAACTCTGGGAAGGAAACACTGACAACTCACCCTCATTCTGGCTTAAAAAAAAAAAATTCCAAAGGCTACCACCACCTGGCCTTGAGCTAGCCCTTCCCTTTCTCCCACCTCTCCCAGCCTCACCTGTTTCCCTTCCAGCTTCCTTAGAGGAGTTCACTTCTGATACAGGTGATTCTGGAAGTCACTGCCCAGAGCAGGTGTACCATAGGAGCAATGGTTAAAAAAGAATTAAGTCCCACTGTTGCCAGAACTGATTTTCAAGAGGATCAGAAATCCAGATTTATATATGAAATCTGATTTTTAAAGGAAGGAAAAAAACACATCCAACACCGTGTGGGCCAACTAATGCATGTCTATAGGCTGTCTGTGCATGACTGTGGCCCAGGGCCTTTGGCCTCACTGGAATCCACTGAAGTAAGTAGGCTAGCATCTTCCTTTTGAAACATTTTAATCATCCAGAGCTTTCTTATAATCAGGCTTTTTAAAAAGATCTGTCTTCCTGCTTGATCTGTTATATTTACACATATAATCTAAGCATTTAACACCTACCAGGTGATTAATCAGACCTGCTGCTCTAGAAAGCTTCAATTAACCTTCAACTTCCACTCGCTCCCCTGCGAGTATGCATTTATTCAGAAATATCTACCGAGTCCCTGCTCTGGTGATAAGAGTAGTGAAGAAAATGCCTTATTGCTTTAGTTCCTGACTTCTGGACAGACAGCAAACAAATAATCACAAACTGTGATAATAGTATGAGGAAAAGCACATGGTGCTTTTGATACCAGCTCAACACAAGGTTGACATAAGGGAAGCCATACTGTAGAAAAGAAACCCTACTGTAACTTTGAATGACCTCTGACTAACTAACCCAGCTGGATCTGCACCCTCCAGGAGATCTAACGGCTCTGTAGATTTTACAACCCCTGCTTGTGTATGTACCTCCCCGCTGCAATAAGAGGATAACTTTGTGCTTTTGAGTTCCTTAGGAATGTGATGACCCCCGAACAGAGAGTCTATGCTGAGAGCCATCATCAATGAAACTGAAAGATCTGGTGTGGCGACTCCCAGTCTGTAACACCAGAAGGTCGACATTCCTAACCCCCTCCCCTATACCCCACGGGCCTATATAACTGCTGTAAGATTTTGTGCCCCCTGAAGATGGTTCTTTTGGGCATTAGTCAGCCATCTTCCCCCTTGCTAGCAAGCTGTAATAAATAGTCCTTTCTCTCCTACCTCCTTGCCTCTTGACTATTGGCATGTCTTGCGGCGTGCAGAAGACCTCCACTTGGGGTGTAACACTATGTGAAGCTGTAGCATGAGGATAGAATTCATATGGGGGGGGTGTCAACAAAACCCTTCTGAAAAAGTGACACTTCAGCTGAGACCTAAAGGATGGCCAAAAGTTTGTCAACGGAAGCGGGGAGGAGGCATTCCTGGCAGAAGGAAAAGCAAGTGTGAAGATCCTGAAGCTATAAGAAATTTAATGCATTCTGCGAACTGAAAGGCTGGTGTGACTGAAACCCAGTGAGCAAAGGGGAGTGTGGAATAGGATGAGGCTAGATGGGGAGGCTATAGCTGGATCACGGAAGGCTCTGAAAGCTGCAGTAATGAACTTGGACTTTCTCATAAGGGTAATGGGCAGCCAGTGGATTCTCAACAGATCTTATAACAAGATCTGCCTTTTAGAGAGCTCACTCTGACCCACAATGGAGAATGGATTGGAAGGAACAAGGTAGGGCTACACCTACCTTCTTCATCACTGTAACCCTGGCATCTAGCATGGTGCCTGCTAGATGTGGCACTCAGTAAATGTTTGTGGAATGGCTGACTGTGAAAACAAAGGAGCCCATTACAGTAACCAAAGATTGGAGCTGAAGAAAAGTGTTCTGAGGTGAGATGTTTTGTAAGTCGAGTTGATAGGACTTAGTAAAGGATTGATTGAACGTAGCGGTTTGGAAATGAGTAAAGGAGAGTCAGGCAATATTCCCACGCATCTGGCTTGAGCCAACTGTACGGCTGGAGAGGACAGTTGAATGAGATGGGTAAGACCGGAGAAGGAGCGCAGGGAGAGGGCTCGCAGCCGACTATCGGATTCACTCCCAACTCCCACCACACGCGCGTGTCTGAGCATCTGAGGAACACTGGGCACAAGGCAGGACTGGGCTCCCCGAAGACGAGGGCGGTGTCGCCCTCTCCGCCCCCGGACTCTCCCCGATCCACGCTAGGCCACACGAGCCTGCTCCATCCATGCGGTGTGGGGAGAGGGCACTAGGGGAAAGTTAGGAAAGCCTGGGTGATGGAACCGGCTTTACTACGTAAACTCCTTGAACTTATCTGGGCCGCAGTGTCCTCATAAGATCGTTCCGAGCCTCAACGCGTCAAGCTCGAGGCCCAAGCTAGGCGAGAAACCGCTCCCAGAGAGCGAGCGGAATTCCCACGTTTCCTTCGGCCTGGGACTGCCTTTCCTCAGGGCGCGGGCCCGTCAGGTTCACCTCGCCCCGGGTCCGCCCGCGTCCCCGGACCCGGAGTCACGGCCTACCTGCCCACCGGGTACCGCGGCGCGCCGCGCCCCAGGCTGACGTCGGCGGGCAGCTTCTCTCTCCGGTCAGCGGCAGCCGGTACCTTACCCGCCCGCCTCAGCCGCTGCCACGGCTACAGGACCTGTTTACCCATGACGTCACTACCTAACACCGGAAGCACTTACCGCAGCCCAACCCGCAGAGCCTGCGGGAAAACGGAGGTCTAAGAGGAAGGACGGCTGCCTACAAGATCCAGAGGCCTTTGCGCCGGAAAGGCCTCCGGAAGTAGCTGTGCGCTCACAGCGGAATACTCTCAGGGGCTCCTCCCTCCTCCCTGATTGGGTGTTAGGCATCCCCGGCCTCAGCGTGCCGTGCTCCCAGATCGGCGGGGCTGGGCAACGGCTCGGGGTGGAGTTCGCGGGCGGAGGATGTGAGCTCACACGCTGGGATTGCTGGCGGGCAGGCGGCCACAGTCTGGGGGCGGCACGGTGTCGGCTTGCAATCCAGCTGAGAGGAGAGGCACCCCCGGGGACGGTGAGAGTCGGGTCTGCCGATGCCCTAGGGGAAGGGATGGACTGGCCGCGGACTGGAGCAAAGAGACCCCCACCCGGTGCTGGGGAAAAGGCGTGGGACGGCGTAGGGGAGATGGAGAGCTCAAATCCTCCCCTGGGAGTGGGTGTCAGAACCGATCCCGGTTTCTCGGTAGTGAGGTGGGGTACGGGCTGGGGAAGACTCGACACTGGGCAAATTTCCCGTGGGTTGGGTCTCGCTAAATCTCCCCAGACCCTTGGGATGAAGCCGAAAATTTACACCTAGCATTTCTGCTAGATCCGCCCTCTCTAGACCAGATTGGCCCCACTCCCCCGCCTCCGCCATCCTCCGTGTGTGACGGATTTCTGGGTCCTTTCTTTAGGACCCCACCTTCTTCCACAGCTGTGGTTGTCTGCCCTTTATTCTGCTTGGGTTCCCTTTAGCTTCGCTGAGTGAGACGCGGATACGCCCCTAGCCCCTGGCATCCCCAAATATCCACACACAAAGTCCGGAAGGAAGAGCGCTGAGGCTATCAATGGAAACTTCATTCTCACTGGAATTACTTTCTGGGGCGTCACCTGCCACAGGATTCCTGGAGCCCATTGGCCTGGGCGGAATCTGAGCTGACGTCATCCATGGGCTCAAAGCAATTGCTTTGTAAGAAAGGAATAGATTAGCTCTGGATTTGTCTACCTCCGTTGGCAACCGCCTAGCCTTTGAGCTCCTTTGCTTTGGTAGAATATGTATGTGTACTTTCTTTGATCCTGGGGAAATTGGGGCTAGACACAGAATACGTAGGTAACTTGCTAAAACCTGTTGAAGAATGGATTTATTCCCTTGGGGTGGGCGGAGGAAGGTAAGGTGATCTCATACCACTCACCGTTACTTACTGATTGGGCAGTCTGCTGGTGAGGGCTCAGCTCATCCATACTCCATCTTGAAGGCAAATGAGAGTCTCCTGGACAAGCCCACTTGCTCTCTTGCACCCTTACAATTCATTCTCTACGCAGCAGCCAGAGTGATTTTTTTCAAAATGTAAATAACTCAGGTCATATCACTCCCCTGCTTAAAACCCTCCAATCGATTCCCATTGCAATTAGTATAAAATCCACTCTCTAATATGATCTGGCCCCTGCCTTCCTTGACTTGAAATCAAGCCAACATCCCCCTTCTTTCTATGCACCAGCCATCTTGGCCTTGTTTCTGTTGCTAAACCTTGTGTCTAACTGAGGAACTTTGCCCTTACTCTTCCATCTATCTGGAATGCTCTTTCAGACCTCAGCTGGAATGTCAGCTTCCCAAAGAGGCTTTCCCTGGCCCCCTGTCTGAATTAGTGCTTCTCACCAGTCACTCTCTTATCTCTGTTTTATTATCTTTATTACATTCCTCACCTTCTGGAATTGCCTGCTTATTTATTCATTTTCTTGTTGTCTGTATCCTCCCACTAGAATGTAAGCTCCATGGGGCCATAACTTGTTTGTTCTTTTCTGTATCCCCAGTGCCTTGCATGGAGCAGTGGCACAATCAATGCTAACTCTTAGTATTTTTATTCTTGTTTACATTATGATGCTTCTTTGAACTCCTTGAAGGCGAAGACGGTATCTTTTCATCTGTCTATTGCTACTGCTTAACATAGTAGGCACTCAATATTGTTTTATTGCTGAATGAATTAAATGAGCTAATATATATTAAATGCCTAGAATAGTGCCTGGAACATAGTAAACATGCGAAGAATGTTTGCTATTATTTTTTTTTCAGTGAATGAATTTTAGTGATTCTTTAGAAAACCAAAGCATATAGCATCTAAATCATGAGGGGTGACCTGGCTTTGCTCTCCTCTGCTTTCCTTGCCCTCCCTCCTCTGAACTCCTATCAGTGTTTCACTTTCCAGATCACTTAACTGTTTTTAGATTTATCATCTGTTTTTTTCTAGCCCTTTCTCCCCATTCTTGTTGGGAGGGAAGAGAGGAAGAGATAGGGCTGGGCCGCCTCTCAGGAAAAAGAAGCAAAAATAGCCATCCTGTAGTTGTTCTGTCCTGGAAAATGGTGACAATTTCAGGAACTTAGGACAGGGCTGATGCCAAGAAAGAGGAAGGTCAGGAAACCCCGGCTGGAGCCAGAGTAGCCCCTGCCAGGAACACTGGCCGACTCCCTCCAACCTGGCTCATTCCATGCTCTCCTGAAGCTGCTTTTACTTGCCTTCCTGAAGCCAGACTCCGGGTGGTGCTCCAAGTAAGAACTGGTGCAGGCTGCTCCTGAGCCTGGAATCTTTAGAAAGGAAGTGCATCCTGTCACTCGGGCTCCTGGGAAACTCCTAGGCTGGCTGGATTCCCAGTATGTTTGGCTGGAAGTCTTGGATCCTGGGAACCTTGAGAAGAAAATAACTGGAATCTGACTGGTGGATCCCCAGGGTGGGGACTTCTGTTCTGCCCAGTCTGTTCCTCAAGCCATCTCTGACCAGCTCCAAGGGTTTGCTTGTCCTCCTTGCCGTCCAGAGCTGAGCTGGGTCTCAGGGAGGCTGGTGAGGTGACCAGTTCCTGGCTCTGTGAGACTGTGCTCCCAAACCTGATTCCTGGTTCCATAAATAACAGCAGGAGTGTCTTTCTTTCTTTCTTTCTTTTTTTTTTGTGAGGAAGATCAGCCCTGAGCTAACATCCATGCCAATCCTCCTCTTTTTGCTGAGGAAGACCAGCTCTGAGCTAACATCTGTTGCCAATCGTCCTCCTTTTTTTTCCCCCAAAGCCCCAGTAGACAGTTGTATGTCATAGTTGCACATCCTTCTAGTTGCTGTATGTGGGACACGGCCTCAGCATGGCCGGAGAAGCAGTGCGTCTGTGCGTGCCCAGGATCCAAACCTGGGCCGCCAGTAGCGGAGCGCGCGCACTTAACCGCCAAGCCACGGGGCCGGCCCCAGGAATGTCTTTCTTAAGGCCTAGGGCCTTAGCCTCTGCCAGGGAATCTAGGGCTTATTAAGGAGAGAATGACTGGATAGTCAGTGTTTCTCCTCCTGTCCCCTCCTGACTGAGGGCTCTCCTCTCCTGACTTCTGTCTTCTCTCCCATCTCCTGCTCATAGCACTGAGAGCATGAGGCTCTGGCCCCCACTGGCCACTCACTTGTGACCCTTCCACCACGGTGGAGCCTTCCAAGCCGACCTCCTGCCGTGTGGTGATCTACCTGCAGCGGGAGATGTCAGGGGATACCTGTCTGTGCCCAGCCTCAGGGGCCAAGCCCAAGCTAAGCGGCTTCAAGGGAGGAGGCCTGGGCAACAAATACGTCCAGCTCAATGTGGGCGGTTCCCTGTACTACACCACCGTGCGGGCGCTCACCCGGCACGACACCATGCTCAAGGCCATGTTCAGCGGGCGCATGGAGGTGCTGACTGACAAAGAAGGTGAGGCATTGGGGCTTAATGAGTGGGGTGGGGAGGGAGGGAGGAGTTCCTGAGGAAGTGACGTCAGGGCAGGGCTTAATGCCGACAGTTCTAGAATCTAGATTCATTTTTCCAGTTCACCTGGTATAGGACTCCTTCACCTGGAGTGCTTAGTAGAGCTTCGGAATTCTTTGAAATTGTACATAGAATGTTGTGTGTTTATGCATTTTCCACAGAAGATCCATACTTGTTTTATATTCACATAGGACTAGATTCTCGTAAGAACCATCCCTGTAGCAACTGGGCAGTGGGCAGAAGGCAAGCAGGGCGTGATGGGTTCTGTGTTGCTGTGAGGTGGGCCTGAGCACTCCTGAGCTTAGACCCCTGTGGGCCTCCACAGAGCCTGGAGAGCCCGTTGTCTCCCAAGGCATGTGCCAGTTCTTGGTTTCAGGGAGGAGGAGTGAAGAGCAGCCATGGACCTAGGAGCTAGAGGTTCTGTTCCCATTTCTGTTAGCCTGTGCCATGGGCTCTGTGCTCATGTGCTCCTTGCCACCTGCCACCAGGCTCCTCAGGTGGCCTTTGCTTGCTTCTGAGGTACCTGGAGGCAAACAGTAACCCTCTGGGGCCTGTCTGAATCCCTAGGCTGGATCCTCATAGACCGATGTGGAAAGCACTTTGGCACCATTTTGAATTACCTCCGAGATGACACCATCATCCTCCCTCAAAACCGGCAAGAAATCAAGGAATTGATGGCTGAAGCAAAATATTACCTCATTCAGGGGCTGGTGAACATGTGCCAAACTGCCCTGCAGGTACGGAGGCAGAGTTGGGGCAGGTTGATGAGGTTGAGAGAGACAAAGATCCAGTTCCTGGAAGGCTGTGTGGCAGCTGTGGTTGATGAGTCCAAACCTAGTTAGATACACCAGGTGGTGCCCAGACCAGGTGAGCTGGCAGCCAGTCAGTTTGTAAGGTGATGAACTCAGGCAGTCTGACTAGGCCCTGCTTCTAGTTTATATGCCTAGATATCTGGATCTTAGGTTTTCTGGGAATGGGGGTCTGCTTGCCAGCTGGCAGTTTCTATTGCCAGGGGCCTCCCGATCTCTGTCTGATGCCTCCTCAGCCAGCAGGGGGTGGCCGTGATAGAGGGGCTCAGACGGCTCCTGGGGAAAGCCTGGCTAAGCCTGGCAAGCAGAAGATCTCAAAAAGATTCTCGGCTGTGTGTGTCACCCAGGACAAGAAGGACTCCTACCAGCCTGTGTGCAACATCCCCATCATCACATCCCTGAAGGAGGAGGAGAGGCTCATCGAATCCTCCACCAAGGTACTGGGGCCTCTGAGGGCTCTGGGCAGGGGATGTTCTGACCCTGGCCTGGTCCTCACGCTCTCCTCCCTCACAGCCCGTGGTGAAGCTGCTGTACAATAGAAGCAACAACAAGTATTCCTACACCAGGTAGGGTGGGCGTCCTGGGGAGGAGGGTGGTGCGATGCCTGGGAAAGGGCTGCAGAAGCTGGTGAAAGGGCTAAACAGCCAGAAGGTGGGCAGCAGACCCGAGGGAAGCCCCCTGCACTCCTGGCACGATTGGCATGGGTCTGGGTCTCTGGAGGGAAGAACAGGGAGGAGAAGAAATGAAGGCAGAGGCATTTGGAGGTTGATGCAGGGCCTTGGCTGAGATAGAGACGAGATCGAACATGTGTCATGTCAGGCCGCGTGCCAGGTGTTTTCCCAGCATTATCTTCTGGGGTGGAGGAGGGATGCTGGGAAGCCAATGGGCTGGGACTCCTCATAAGCCAGCCTTTGTACTTCATAGCTGGGCCAGTTTCCCCCATGCCCCGCCGTGTCCTCTCGACAGGCCAAAGTTAGGTATATGCAGGCGGCTGCAGGCTCAAGAGTCCCAAACCCTCCTGGTGACTCCCTGTGGACAGACACATTGCCAGCATCACCCCTACAGCAGGGAAGGAATCCTGCTGAGATAGCAGCGAGCCTCCTTCCTTCCCGGCCTAACAGGAGGAGATCTCCCTCCCTCAGTTCTCTCTGCTTTAACTTAACTCACCTCCTTTTCCTCACAGGCCCCCAAACCCAGAAGGGGATCCGTGACCCTTTCTTGTCCTGTCCCCTCTGGCATCTTGACTTTTCCTTATTTCAGCAGGGGAGGGGAAGGCAGGGGAGAGCCCAGCTAGCACCCTCCCTTGTGCTGGAACCTCATTCCCAGGCCTGCGGGCCCTCGCGGGTTTTTCAGCAACTCCGACGACCACCTGCTGAAAAACATCGAGCTGTTTGACAAGCTCTCCCTGCGCTTCAACGGCCGTGTGCTCTTCATCAAGGACGTCATCGGCGATGAGATCTGCTGCTGGTCCTTCTACGGCCAGGGCCGTAAGCTGGCGGAGGTGTGCTGCACCTCCATTGTGTACGCCACGGAAAAGAAGCAGACCAAGGTATGGAGGGCTTCCCTCTGCGGGGGGGCCCAGACACTCACCAGCGCAGCCCGACAGCCTTTCACCACAGGGAACAAAAAGGGCGTACGTTTTGCTGTCTGTCTTTCCCACACTCGTCGTGATGGTGCTGGGCAAGGACGAAAGCCAATACAAGGGGTTCGGGGAATGGCATGGAACTGTTTGTCCCTGTCAGCTGAGAGGCAGGGGCTGGTGACCAGGAGGGAACAGTCTGGTGTGGTGGGAAGGACCAGGTCTGTGGAGTTGGCCCAGTTCAGGTTTGAATTCTGGTTCCACCATTTGCCAGTTTTCTGACTTTGGATAAGCCATTTAAACCATCTGGGCCTCAGTTTCCTCATTTGCAAACATAGGAATGATAGGAATTTAACAGAGCTATTACGAAAATGAGACAGTTCTTAGAAGCAGTGCTGTGTAGTGGAAACAGCTGTTCAGATCTCTCCTCTGGCCCCTGCTGGTTGGGTGTGCCTGCTCAGTCAGCTTAGCCTCTGCAGTAACAACACAGTGCCGGTCGCGTGTGAGGGGTTGGATGGGTGATAGTTCACGCACACTCAGCTAACCCCGTTCTCCCAAGCTGCAAGCAGTCGGTGTCCTCCTCTGAAAGCAGCTGCCCCCGTGACTGTGTGTTATGGAGACAGCAGGGCTTTGCTGGGTTGGAAGGGAAGCTCATCTGGGGGAGGGTCCTGTGCGTGGCTCAAAGCAGCCAAGCTCACGGAGCACCTTCTCGGCCCCCAGACGACTGAAGTGCCTCCAGCTTGGTGGTCTGAGGGTCTAAGGTCTAAGGCTACAGGAGGTGGCCCTGCTTCCTCCTGTCATTTTGGGAGTGGGGGCTCCCGTGTGCACATATCATTGGAGTCAGGATTCAGGGGCAGGTCTCTGTCGGGGCTGATTACACTGTGGAAGTGGCAGCAGCACCTGTCACCTTCCTAAGTTCTTTCTCTTTCATGAACTTTTTGACCCCTCACACCACACCTGTGAGACAGGCTGGGCTAGAGCCATTCTGCCTATTTGACAGATGAGAGAATAGAAGCTCAAGATGACACAGCAAGTTAGGCTAGAATTCAGATGCCTTGAATGCCATCCCTTTCCGTCTTCCATGAAATGTTCACAACTCTCTGAGGTAGATATTACCATGATTTTACACATGTGGAAACTGAGGCACAGCAAGGTTAAGCCCAAGGCCCCACAGCTAGTAAGTGGTGGAGCTGTATTTGTACCTAGGCCTGACCACAGAGCCAAGGCCCTAACCTCTACGCATATTAGTTCATTGGTCTGCTCTTGGGTGGGGTGTGGGGAGGGTGCTAGTCTTCTGCATCCTTATGTCCATAGAGTGCATCTCATACCTCCTTCAGAGGGAGACCTGCCCTCCCTCATGAGATAGAAAGCCATCTGTCGTAAGAGAGTTCAGGAGGCCTTATGGAGCCAGCACAGGGCCAAGGGCCCTGACCTGCTGCTCCCTCTCTGGCATGAAACCTCATTCAGTCCTCTTGTCCCCCTTGCCCCAGGTGGAATTCCCAGAGGCCCGAATCTATGAGGAGACACTCAACGTCCTACTCTATGAGACCCCCCGAGTCCCTGACAACTCCTTGTTGGAGGCCACAAGCCGTAGCCGCAGCCAGGCTTCCCCCAGTGAAGATGAGGAGACCTTTGAACTGCGGGACCGTGTCCGCCGCATCCATGTCAAGCGCTATAGCACTTATGATGACCGGCAGCTCGGCCACCAGTCTGCTCATCGTGACTGACAAGACCCTCAGGGATTCAGGGCGTGGGACACCCTGTCTCCCCTCCTGTGGAACCCTGCCCCATTGGCCAGCCCACGCTGCTGCTGGCTGGATCTCTGCTCTAGCACCCAGAGGCATGACAGGCCCTGCCAGGGAGGTCCAAGCACCTGAGCAGCAGTGGGGCCCCATCCCTTTGCCCCGCTCCCTGAGCACTTCAGGCTGACTGAGTCCTGGCCCCTTTGCTCAGCGTCTCCCTCCCTGCCTGACAGGGAGCCGTTTCTGCCCCTGGGTGAATGGACTGACCTGCCCACCTCCCGCTGAGAACATTCCCCTTGGCCTTTTGCCGATCGCCCCTTTCCTTTTCTGAAGGGCTGCCATTAGGCCTCAGCTGAGGCTCAGGGGGAATGAGTTTGTTCTGTGGGGAAGGTGGCTTCTGGTGCTGTGGAGACCCAGTTTCTTACAGAAGGTGGGGCTCCTTTTTTCCTAAGGTGTTTAAGCACAGGCTTGATGGATTTGGTTTTTTAAAAATAATCTAGGAAATGAATAGTTTTAAGTCTAATAATGAGGGAACTGGGTATTTCTGCTACTCCTTCAGTGTGCTAAGACCCTGGGTAAGGCAGAACCCCTGGCCCTTCTCCATGCCTTTGGGATCTGTTTCTTTAAAGCACTTTGTACTTTTATTCAGGAGATTTGTATTCAGCCCTGACCCACGTCGTCTCTTTCTGACCCTGATCCCCTCTTCCCTGCAGAATCAAACTGAGGGAGGGGATAGAAGAAGCAATAAAAGGAAAACTGACCAGCTTTGGCTGTGCCAGCCTGGCCCAGCAGCCATCCCAGAGAGCGCTGAGGAAGGAAGGATGTGTAAGTTGGGACCTGTGGTCCTAATAACACCCCTGTGAGAAAGGACATTTTACCCCAACACCTTGGAGTCACATAACTGACTCCTAGGGTCTATCGTGATTCTACTTTTGGTTCTCTTGCCCTCAGCTCCAAGGCATGCTGTCCTTACCTTAAAGCCAAAGAGCCATCATAGGGGCCAGGAGCTGCTTGGGGCCAGGAGCGTGAGCTGCAGCAGGAAGGCTGTGGAGCCCATGGGCACTGCACTTGCGTGCCCATCAGCCGAGGACAGTGAACGCAGAGCCCTGCACTCCCAGCAGCCCTGCGCAGAGGTGGCATGTGCTTGGTCATACATCCCTCCTCCCCCCATCCATGCTACTGGTTTTGTGTCCTGGCTGGGGATGGTGGTTCTGGCCAGTGGTGAGTCTGAACACAGGATGACATGAGCAGCCTAAGACCCTTGAAAGGTTTCACTTCTTTCTTGTTGGGTAACTTGACCATGGGCATGCCAAGCACCAACTCTTGGGCAAGGGTGTGCATTCCTCTTCAGGGCTTTGGTTTTCATTACCTTCTGTTTGGCTTGGCATTTGAGAAGCCGCTTATCTGAATTCTTTTCCAAAGGAATGCCATTTGGGCGGGAGCTGTTCAGCTAGCCTAACAAAGCAGCATAGCCACTCAGCAGTACACACTCATTCGGGAAGGGACACAGGTTATCAAGTTCATCTCTCTTGACTACTCTTACTATATAGCTAAGTGGCTGCTCCTGGCTGACCCCATAGAGCATAGGCAAATGCCAGGCCAGGGTTAGCAGACACTCAGAAGGACCTGAAATGACATGATGGGGCAAGGGAAATGTGACTCTAATCAGGCATTTCATACTTGTTGCAGTCTTGAACATACAAAAACTTTCAGGTGAGGCCCCCTGGTGAGCAGCTAGGAACAGTTCTTCCAGCCCTCACTGGAGTAACAAGATGAAGAAAAATCTGTTTCTTTGGCCAGATTCCAGCTTTGGCTTTGTGGCTTTCTCACAGAGACTAGAATGCTTCTGCCTGAGGCCTATTTCCTCAGCTGCTCTCCTTTTTTTTTCTTTTTTTGTGTGTGAGGAAGATTATCCCTGAGCTAACACCTGTTCACCTGTTGCCAATCCTCCTTTTTTTTTTTTGTTTTTTTTGCTGAGGAAGATTGGCCCTGGGCTAACATCCGTGCCCATCTTCCTCTACTTTATATGGGATGCCTGCCACAGCGTGGCTTGGTAAGTGGTGTGTAGGTCTGTGCCCAGGATCCGAACCTGCGAACCCTGGGCCACCAGAAGCAGAGTTTGCAAACTTAACTGCTACACCACTGGGCCAGCCCACAGCTGCTCTCCTGAAGCCCTTTAACACTCAAAGTCCCAGCTCCCCACTGGGGTGTTTTAATGTTTGTCCTTTGACCTCCCCAGCCCCTGTAGCCTCTCTTTACTGCTTTGACATTCAGATCCTCAGCTGTCTCAGTGGTGACTAGTCTTTCTTCCTGAGAAAGCACAATAGTCTGGAACTCTGGGCACTTATCTCCTTGGTCTTAAGAAAAATACTAACATTGAACTCATTGAAGTAATCTTAGGTTCTTTGATCAGACTTCATGGCATAAGGGTTTGAGGAATTTTCTTTGAGTTTTCCAGCCCTATTCGGAAAGCAGTTCTTGGCGGTGTGAAATTTTCAACTCCAAGCAGCCCAGGGGAAAGTAAACAAAAAGTGTGGATGAAGGTCAAATCTTCTTGTCAGTTTCTGAGAAAACTGCTCTTAACCACACCTACCAGTATTTGGTTTTATTCAATTTGTTATCTGATCAAGATCTGCCTGAAGGATGACACAGGTCCTGACATGAGAGAACTTCTTTATCATGTAACTGCAATTCTTTGTTGCTCAGCATAGGTGATGGAAACAAACACTAATTTCTAATAAAATTGTGTTACACACCAGTGGTACAGAGCCGTGCTTACAGTGAGTATAGCTTGGTCAGCTCGCTGCTGTGGACATAGTTCTTGTTTTTCTGTTCACCACCTGACTGTGTTCTTGCTGGGTTTTAAGTCCAATTGCACTCAGTTGCCCTGCAACCCCAGTTCCCCCTGTTGGAGGATTAAGGACAACACTAATAAGGACTGGAACTGAGATTTAATATTAATTCAAGAATAAAACAACCTCTTTAACAATCACTATGGTAGTGCAGGGGGCAGGAATCCTAAGAATCGGGACAAAATGCAGCACATTTCATCTCTGGCTCTTGGAGATCTGCGAGCAGCTCAGAAAGTAGCTTGGCTTAGTTGCCATCCACGCCTAAAGCTCCTCGGCTGAGTTTCTGCATTTGTTGTCTGGAGGCTTGACAGACTTGTGCTCATGGCTGGCAAGTCCATTGCTCCAGGAAATCCGACTGGCTTGCCTCATGCCTCTCCTAGGCCCAGGGAAGCCAGAGATGCCAATAGTTGGCCAGTGCTAAGAGGCGGGCCACTCCTCTGACCCTGATGCTGGCTTCCCACTCTGCACTTGGCAGAGGGTAAAGAAGAGAACAAGAGTCCAGTCTGGCCCCCACCCCACCAGCTGAGAGGCACAGTGACCCTGGGAGACGTCCAGCTAACCCACAGCCTCAGGAGGGAAACATATATGCTAACCGAAGGGGCAGCTTCCTGGAAGGGCAGCAAGGAAAGCAATCAAGGGCCCCCACTGGGTCAAAAAGGGAGCCTGAGAACCTGGGGGCAGAAATGGCGAGGGTGGCCAAGCGAGCACTGGTTTATTGACCAAACCTCCATTCTAAACAACTTGTGTGACAGGCCAAGAAACTCCTCCAGGCCTGTGGCAGCTTAACACGAGAGTTCCTGGTGGAAAGGTTGCCTGGAACACAGTGCAGCCAGGGCTTACAGGGGAGGCCAGCCTTGGAGGAGTCCTACACGGGTCTTCTGGAGAAAACAGTTACATCCTACCCACCAAAAAACAACCCCACAATCAAATGGTGCAAACAATTAAGAGACCCACTGTGGCCCATGATGGAGAGAGTTCTGCAGCAATTGTGGGATGAGAGCTGTTCTTCAGGGGCCAAGCCTGGGCACTTAGAGCCTCAGTTGGCCTACCAGTGAAGGCCTGAGGGTGGTGTCTTCTCATCTTTATTGCTTTCCAGGGAGAAGGGAGGGATCCGGACATCGAAGTGGGAGCCATCAGGCCTCTCAAAGCGGAACGTGCCCCTGTCAGTCAGAAAGAAGGTGGTTTGGAGGGAGTGAGGGGTGAGGCCCTCCTGAAGATCTGACTAGGTCTAGACCCTCAGATCCAGAACCACAGCAGGATGAGGCAGGCCTGGACTCTGTTCTGCCTGTCTTCTGCCAGGGTAACACTAGTGGAGAAACCCAAGAGCCCATCCTGGCCCTACATTAAAAGAAGAAACACATGGGCCAGCCCCGTGGCTTAGCGGTTAAGTGTTCGCGCTCCGCTGCTGGTGGCCCGGGGTTCAGATCCCGGGCGCGCACCGACGCACCGCTTCTCCGGCCATGCTGAGGCCGCGTCCCACATACAGCAACTAGAAGGATGTGCAGCTATGACATACAACTATCTACTGGGGCTTTGGGAGAAAAAATAAATAAATAAAATTAAAAAATAAAAAAAAAGAAGAAACACAGCTGTCCTGCTTCTGGCCCTTAGATGCACACTGCATAAGCTACCCAACTACACTTTCAGGTTAAGAAGTGAAACACCAGGGAAAAAAATCCAACTACATGGGCAACTCAGTGCAGCATCAGATCACCAGACCTCTTTGGCCTAAGTCCTCAGTTCACAAAATTGCAGGGAACTGGAAAACAGGCAGGCATAAAAAATCAGACAAGTCCCACACAATGAACAGCAGATAAGGCTCCATCTCAGGAATTAACCTGGTGCAGAGTTAACCGCAAGCTATGAGCTCTCACTTTTCTGACCTGCAGCTTGTGTGTGTGATGCTGAGCTGCCCCTGCCCCAGCACATGCTCACTTACCACATGTGCCCACTGGAAGCTTGCAGGGAGACGTGGCTGCTGTACTGGAACGCAGGCTGCTCCTTGGATAACACTGGTTCCTGTGAGCGTTCAGGCAAAATAGGTCAGGCCAGACACGCTCTCTGTACCCCAGGGCCATATGCTGACTCCCAGTTCATCAGGACTGGATGCCCCCTCATGCCTCCCACAATCACTGCCTGGAAGTATCTCCTCCCACAGCATGTCCATTGACCTGGTCCTTTTACTTTGGTCCTTTTACTCTGACTCTGAGAAAGATAATCTCAGACTGAGTGTCTGAGGGCACTGGGCAAAGATGCTAGGTACAGGACCCCTTCCAGCGTCCACTGGCTGAGACCCTAAGTGCCAGGCACCATGGCAGTGCTCTGCAAACCTTTGCTGACTGAAGTCTCCTAGTAATCATAAGGTAATAGATGTGATCCCCATTTTAACAGTAAGAAACTGAGATTTTGGTTAAATAATTTGCCCAAAGTTATACAGCAAGGAAACAACACAGCTGGCATTTGGAGCCAGACTATCTAACTCCAAAGCCCATTCCTACCACCATCCCACCCTGCTGCCCCAAGTCTCTGCTGACGTGGATAAATGCTTATTGAATGTGGCCCCTGGGCACTTCTCGTGACTTTATCAAGAGACGGGGTAGTGTAGTGCAGGAATTGCAAAATCAGATCTCTTCAAGGAGCAGCAGAGGAATGGAAAGAGGCAGAGGAAGGACAACTAGGAGTGGAGGGGGATGCATGCCCCAGCTAAGGGTATTCAAATTCAGATTTTTAAAAAGGCACTGTGCTGGCAACAAAAACTCTACACAAGCTTTGATGTCAGACTCACTTAGATTCAAATCCAGGCCCTGCCACTCTAGCTATGGGACCATGGGCTAGTTATATAACTTCACAGTCTCGCTCTTTTCATCTGTGAAATGGGTTGTAAGAAACCTATCTGAAAGGGTTGTTGTAAAGTTTCTCACCCACAACAGCCCAATGCATTTACACACTGAGCCTCTGTCCCTAAGCAGAGAAGAAGAGAAAATCATGCACTCAGCTCCCAGGCTTGCTGGGCAGGACGAGAAACTGGGCATTATTGGCCCAATGATGCTCACCCTGCCCACCACCCCTCGGCCTCGCACTGTCTCCAAGGTGCCGGATAGACTGAATATTCTCCAGTGTCGCTCCCGGAGCTGTACCACGTCACTATCGAGGTTCTCCAAGCGGATACAGTAACGCCACTGTGGGGGTGGGGGAAAGAGTTCACATCTGAGGAAGACCTTGGGCTAGCCCACCCAGAATTCTAGCAGAGCAAAAGCCAACAAAGGCTGACACCTGATTGCACAGGCCCCACGCCCCAGAGGTAAACTCCCCCACCTCCCAATCTGCCTCCCCAGGCTCCCCTCCTCCCCAGGGGAGACACTCACCCAGTAGACGTGGGAATTCTGGGCTTCCTGGGGAAAAAAACACAAAGAATTTAAGTTCCAGAGGGCAGGACCAAGTCCATTCCAATCAACATCTCTCCAGTGGAGTAGGATGTATTCCAGGAAGGCTGCAGACAGAACAAAGCTGCGACTATATCTGTGGGATGATGATGACTGCACTATGGCCAACCAGCCCCCACAGGGAAGCAGCCTCCCCTGGTCCATCCCTGGCCTCCTGCCTCCTCATCCTATCAAGATCACCACCAGAGCCGGACACCAGGCTGGAAATCAGCCACAGGGCTCTTCTCTTTCTCACCACCCTCCCTGCCAGCCACCACCCCCCATCACTGCTAGCCCAGGCTGCTGTCCTCCTCCTCAGCACTCCCAGAGCCCAACCTTATGACAATACTTGGTATGCTGTATGTTGGCCTCCCCCACTACTATGGGCTTCTGGAAGGCAGGGACAGTATTTCATTTTTATTTGTATTCCTAGGACCCAGCTTACAGTCAGGCAAGAAATAGCTCAATAAATGTTTGATTAATACATAAAAAAAGGTGAAGATCAGCCTACACTGATTTAAACAAGTATGTGTATATTCTTCATAAACATGGCTCCCTTTGAGCCAGCAGAGAAGAAGGAAGAGTCAGCCTGGAGGCCTCCTTCCTGGGACCCAAGGGTTTCCCTGCTCTAGGGCATGGTGTCAGCCACTGCCAACAGGCTGCTCACCCCCAACCAATACAAGCAGCACTTGGAAGCAGAACCACAGGCACACGGTTTAAATCTGGAACCCACTCCAGCAGTCACACTGGGGATACCATACGGAATCTGGGGGCCTAGTCCTGAGGGAAGGGGCCCAGGCTGGGCACATACCCTCATGCCCATGTAGAAGGGGATGACGGTGACACGGATGTTCTCAGTTGTCTCCCGATGGACATCAGAAAGTTCCAGCCAGGGGTGATTCTTCTCTTGCCAGGCCCGTAGTGTCTCCCGAGCCACAAAAGGGGGTGCTGGGGCAAGAGACAACTGGTTAGTCCAGGCCAGAGTCCAGGGCACTGCACCCACTTTTCAATCACCCCACCTAGAAAACCCCTCCCAGTGATGGCCCAGGTAAGCAAGATGCCCAAACATAAGGCAAAAGCAGAGGCTGGAAGAGAGCACAGAGCTGCCTACCAAGAGTTAGGCCTCAGGAGGTACGTGACATCGTGGGAAGAGAACTGGACTGGGAGGTAGGAGCCCTGGTTTTCAGACCTCACTCTGCCACTAACTAGCAACCTTAAATCCCGTCTCATCATCCCTGAGCCTCAGTTTCCATATCTGTTAGGAGAAAATAACAGCCATCTACCTGCCAGGTCTAGTGGGAGGTTGTGGAAATAGAGTTTGAAATTGCTCCTAAAGGGCCGGCCCCGTGGCTTAGCGGTTAAGTGCGCGCCCTCCGCTGCTGGCGGCCCGGGTTTGGATCCCGGGTGAGCACCGACACACTGCTTCTCCGGCCATGCTGAGGCCGCGTCCCACATACAGCAACTAGAAGGATGTGCAACTGTGACATACAACTATCTACTGGGGCTTTGGGGGAAAAATAAATAAATAAAATCTTTAAAAAAAAAAAAAAGAAAGAAAGAAATTGCTCCTATGATATTGTCTTTGAAGAAAGGGCCCTCCCATTCCAGCTTCCCTTCTTGAAAGAGATCACCTTTTGTCTGGTCATACAGAAGAAATCTTTCAAAGAGCTCGTGCTGGATGGGAACCTGATCAGTGGAGGTGTAGGGGAGAATGTCTTCATGGCTGACATAGTCCAGGCCTAGCACAGAGGGGCAAAGAGACAGTGAAACTCACATAGGAGAGGGGAGGAACAGGGCTGGGAAGAAACACAATTCCTGGCCTTGTTCAGGGTGGGACGACCCTGTACCATTGCTCTCAGGATCTACAATCCCTCTCAGCAGATTAAATAACATCAGAAAGGCATCAGAATCCTCCCCTGAGACACACCAGACCCTCATCAACAGGCACCATTCAGATGCTCAGTACTCACCGGGGATGGCATAGAGGGCCCGGCTGTCATCATGGTTAGCCAAGAAAGTCACAGCTTCTGTCTGAGATCTCTGAGACTAACACAAGAAGCGAGTCAGAGACTTTCCTAGTCACCTTCAAGTCCTGACGACTTGGGGCCCCGTGCTGATCTGGGCTTTCTTTGACCCCTCTCCTTCCCTTTGCCCCCATCAGGGTGCAGGTCTTTCCCTTTCCTGGAGAAGAAGCCCAGGCCCAGCCAACTTGCTTACTTACTATATGTGGACAGTCTCGGGCATCAATCAGCACCTGATAGTAAGTGTGAGTTTTGCCTTTCACCTCCTTAGAGCCGTGGCCAGCAGGATTCTCTGCTCTGCAGGGCAGGAGAAGAAGCCCAAGATCACCCCGCAAGAAACAGAAGCAGTGCCTGCCCAGCTACCTACCACCTCCTCAGCTAAACAGACTGGTGCCTGATCTGAAGGGGCTTTAGCACTGGGTGGGTACCTGCTCGGCAATACCCTGGCCCAGCCGCTCCCCAGTCAGGGGCAGACAACGGAACATGGAGGACCCACGGCACAGAGTCATCATTTGTCTTACTCTCTGGCTGCCTCTTGGAAGAAGGGGCCATCTGAGAAAATCAAATTGCTGCCTCAGTCCCTGGAGTCCACAGTACCCAACTCTTCTCACACCCCAGGGGCTGTCTGTGATCACTTAATGGAGCTGGGCCTTTTCTTTTTTAATGCACCTAGTGATGATAAGAGAGTAACGGAAAGATTCTAACGGACCATCAAGAAATCAAGACTAGTCTCCCAAATGCCTTCTGGGGTACTTCCAATACAAACTGAGAACAGCTTGGGAGAGCATCCTGGAGAGGCCCAAAGTGACCCTCCGGCTTCACTGTCCCCGGCACTCAGCACTTTTGTCTCCATGGATTAGTGCCAGGGGAGTACTCTGGGGCTGCTCCTAAGGCCCAGGAGCATGCTGTCTTCACCCCTGGGACCCCAATTATGTATGTCTGCCATGAGTCAGGCCTCCTCCTGAGGATACTGTGAGGCACAATGACAGGGAAACTTACTTTTCTGGAGTTGTAGAAGCCACATCCCGGTCATATAGTCTGGCCTGCCAGGGAAACAGGACGACACCTCGGTAGCCAAAAACACTATGAAGGAAAAGCTGGGAGGAAAGAGAGGCCTCAGTGAGTCTGCAGTCCATCAAGTCCATCAAGTCTATCCAGGGAGGCCTGGACCACTAAACAGCACAGGTAGCGGCAACTCCAGCACAAGGTCTTGCCACTCCTTCCCTCGAACTGTGTGTCCACTTAGACCAACTTCGGAACACTCTTAGTCCCTCTTCACCTGGCTGACTTCTACTCATCCTTTAGGCCATAGCTTAGCACAGTGCACAGCCACTGACCATTTGCATTTTATAATTCCCTTCTGGACTGTCAACTCCATGAGGGTATTGCTTTCTGGTTTAACTCCAATGCATGATGCCTGGTCCATTGTAGGCATACACACACACACACACAAAAAGTGAATAAACTAAAAGTCCTCCTTACTTACAAGGGATCTAAATCTATCTCAGTGGATCTGACACAAAGCTGATACAGAAAAAGAGCCTCACTCCCAGAGCTTACTATACTGCAATCAGTCCAACTATGACAAAGTATCAAAGGTTTGCTTTTCTGAAGCCTCCCTCCATCCGCTGGCTTCCCACCATCCACTATGTTAGAGGACTCTTCAGCAACTTGGCCCTCTCCTCACTATAGTCCAAACCATCTCTGTCCACACTAACTTGGAAAGAGAACCCACTGACACATGAAATGCATTCAAATCCAGGAAAACAGAAACCCCACCTTAAAAAATTTGTCATTCTGGTCTGGCATTGCTCACCAAGGCAGAAAACTGTAACATTCAGGCCTATGACCAAATCTGACCCCTTTGGAAGCAGAGCACACCATGAAAATGAAAGATGACCCAACCCACCACTCACCTGCCCAGTCTCATATTTTCCATTCTGTTTTGGCACCTCAAACACACCAACTGTCTCCAAAACTTTGCCCTCTGCTCGGTTTCTGATTAGGAAGGAAAAGAACAAGCAACTGAATAACTGAGAAGCTAATGGTAATGATCCATCAGAAAAAGGTACTAGAGGGGCCAGCCCAGTGGCACAAGCGGTTAAGTGCGCGTGCTCCGCTGCGGCGGCCCAGGGTTCACCGGTTCGGATCCCAGGCGCGCACCGACGCACCATTTGGCAAGCCATGCTGTGGCAGCGTCCCATATAAAGTGGAGGAAAATGGGCACGGATGTTAGCCCAGGGCCAGTCTTCCTCAGCAAAAAAAGAGGAGGATTGGCAGATGTTAGCACAGGGCTGATATTCCTCACCAAAAAAAATAAAAGAAAAAAGAAAAAGGTACTCGGATACTGAAGGGCCAGAGCAATGACAAAAGAGAAGGGTCGGGACAGGGGGACCAGCTGAAGCACGTAAGAGTCCTGCCAAACCATCACTCCACAGAGACTCGGCCTGTCCTCCTTTGAGGTCCAGCCACAGGCCACTCCTTGGTTTCTCTGTTAGGTCTGACTGCTCCCAGATCACTTTCTTCTCTCTTTACTCTCAGCATCCCTCAGATCATGTCCTCATACCTGCTTAATTGCCTCCATTCCTTCCCTGACCCACTCTCCTGGCCTCCCACAGCATTTTAGCTGTGCTGCCCACCATGCATCTCAGTTATGTGTGTCCCTGTCTTATCTCCATTAGAGACTCTAAGTTCTCTCGAACAATGCTTGTGTCTGATTAGCCTCGGGTATAAAGAGGAGCTCAAAAAATATTTGTTCTGTTAAAATTCCACATCGGTCTCCCCTTCTAAACCGCAAACTTCACCCTCCCCTTGAAGGGCTTAATCATCATCTCTAGATTTCCTACTGTACTCCTGCGCTGCACCTAGTAGTTTCTCAATCTAGTTTTTGTTCAGATTTACATCAATTTTCACAGGAGTCTTACATTGCAAATAGTTATCATCTCTCCCCAATATCAGTGTCTAATCTCTGCCACTAAAAGGTTAGTTCTCTCAGTGACCTCTCTGGACAGGAGCCCTTCAAAGCACTGTTATCCTTACTATTTTGGAGATGTGAACAGTTATGCTTCCTCCCACTTGATCCACCGGCCCCAAACTGACCCACCTGTCCCATCCCCAGAGACAATGTTCACACCATCCCCATGGCCTCAAGCCCCCTTCCCCAAGTCACAGAGAGAGAACTGGTCTCCCCAGGTCACTCTGAAACTTGGGAGCCACACAAGGTCCAGACTCGGGAGTCCTGCTTCGCACTTCGAGCACCTTTCTGAGGGAGGCCTTGACCCAATCCGGGGCTGGGGGTTCAAATCAAAAGCCCTAGGGCTTAATTAAAGTGCTGCCCACTAACAGCGGCGCTTAGAGACCCCCATTCGGGAGGGAGGATTCACTCTGGGAGGTTTACTAGTTCCCTCTCTAGAGCCAGCACTGCATAGTCCAGGGCTCTGGGCCGCGATCCCTTCGCTGCTCCTGGCACACGTCCCAGGCAGCGCAGGTCGGCTCCCGGCCGGGACCCTCTCCCGGGTCGATCTCCAATCACCCTCAGCCGGCCGGGCCTCCTGGTCTCCTCCCTGACCGAGAACAAGCTCCCCAGGCTCCAGGCCCGGCCCCCGCGCTCCGTGTCCCTCACCGGGACGAAAGGTGCCTCCGCGTCGTCGTTGTGGCCGCTGGCGGGAAAGCTCCAGCTCCACCCGCCGCACAGAGCGGCCTCGGCCCCCGGGCCCCGGTCAGTGACCGGGACCACCAGCGGCTGCCCACGGCCAGGGCTCGCCGGGCCGCACAGCCCGCCATCTCCCGTGCGAGCGCCCGCTCGGCCGCTGACACAGTACCCGACCCGCGGCCAGGCGGCGTTCCGCCCCCACCCCACACTGCCCCGCGCCGTGTCCCCGCCCCTTTAGCCCTCTGCCCCGCCCCGCGAGCTCCATGCTCCTTCCGGCGCACAGCAGACGCAACTTCCGGCATGAGGTCGCCTGACCGTAGAGTCGGCTGGAAATGGCGTCGCTCTTGCTTGCTGGACAGCGCTTGGTGCGCGCTTTGGGCCCCGGTGGGGAGTTGGAGCCAGAGCAGCTGCCCCGGCAGCTACGGGCAGAACTTGAGGCTGCGCTGAAGAAGAAGCACAAGGGCAGTGATCGCCCCAGTGGCCCCGCACGCCTGGTTTCCTTCCGCTTGATCCGAGATCTGCACCAGCACCTGAGAGAAAGGGGTGAGCTCCAGTCTCCAGTCCGGAGTCGCCTCCTTTTTTTTCCAGAGTCTGTTCCCTCTTGAGGTCTATTTCCCACCTCTAGCATCTTTCTGAGGGAAAAATCCGTCACTCTTCTTCGCCCGCGGAACGGTCATCTAGCTAACCCGAGAATCACCTCAACCCTAGGGTAACTCGCTCCCCTCACAACTTCCATGGGACTTCGTCGTGGGTGACAAAATGTGCTTGTGCAGTTTCTGCTCTCTCTCGAGTCTCCTCTACACTTGCAGGCCCACGTAGGCACGCCTGACCTTTGAGAAAGTCCAAGTTCTAACCCGATACCACCGCTCGGGTTCAGCTTTTTCTGTTAAGCCACGTTAGAAAACAGTTTAGTATGGTGAGCTTGGCCTGTTTGGGAATCTGGATTTGTTTCCATCTCAAAATCGAGAGTGGTCAGATCTAATTTTTTTTTTTTTTTTGAGATAGAATGATGGAAAGCTTGGTGAAAAATCTAAACTGGGAGTAGCATCTGAGTTCTAGTCCTAGCTCTGCCATTAACTCCCCTTGGAGGAATCATTTCTCCTCCTTGGACCTCAGTTCCCTTAACTTTGAAAGGGAGAGAATGGGACAGACTTGTCCTATGTAAGGTCTTTTGGCATATAAGGTCTTTTGCCAGAATTAACATAGCGTACCCATAAGTGCAAAGGGTAGACTCCTCAACTATTGGAACTAAAAAGGACCTGAGAGATCATCTAGTAGTGTCTTCCTTAAGTTATACCAGTATAACTTAAATCCATTTAGGGTAGTTCTTTTGTGGCCACAGAAATGACCTAATCTAAAAGCAAACGTAAATGGCTTACTTGTTAATTGTGACATTGGCAGGATAATTGAGAGCCAGCAGTTAACAGTCAGCTGTGCAGCATTAGAAGATACTTAACGTGGAGTGGTCCTAGATTCTTCCCAATTGAAAATGATTCTGGAGATAAATTCATAAAGGGATGGCCGCATTTTATTTTGGTAGAAAGAATAGAAAGTCTATACCCTTCTCTGATCTTTTTTTGTTGTTTTTTTTTTTTTGGTGAGGAAGCTTGGCCATGAGCTAACATCCATTGCCAATCTTCCTCTTTTTGCTGAGGAAGGTTGGCCCTGAGCTAACATCCGTGCCCATCCTCCTCTATTTTGTATGTGGGACGCCTGCTGCAGCATGGCTTTATGAGTGGTGTGCCTGTCGGCGCTCGGGATTCGAACCCGCAAACCCCGGGCTGCCAAAGTGGAGCGCGTGAACTTAACCACTACACCAGCAGGCCGGCCCCTTCCCTTCTCTGATCTTAATCCTTCAACCTCAGCTTTATGCATCATTATTTTTATGGAAATCTTTTCTTCCCAGATTCCACACTATACCTTCATGAGCTCCTAGAAGGCAGTGAAATCTACCTCCCAGAGTTTGTGAAGCCTCCTCGGGTATGTAAGAGATACATTTGTGAGAATGGGTGTTGGCTGGGTTGAGCTAATTTGTGATACATACATCCAAATTTACCAATCAACCATTGGGATCAAAAATTTGTCTTTTAAATCCTTGAGAGCTGGGACGGGGGAACCAGATATTGTCCTGCCTATTTAACAGCTTGGAAAACTGAGATCCCAAGAAAAACAGTTTCCAGAGCAGTGGAGGCAGAACTAGTACGTTGTGGGCCTCCTAGCACCGTTAGGAGTGCTCTGTCCCCTGAAACCAATGATTGTGACATGCATTCTAGCAAGCTAGGAATATCATTCTTCTCATTTAATTTTTCTGCCTCAGAACCCAGAGCTAGTTGCTCGTCTGGAAAAGATTAAGATACAACTGGCCAATGAGGAATATAACCGGATCACCCGCAATGTCACTTGTCAGGTAAGGGCCTGCTCTTCAATACATGGACTGAGTAGCTCCTGAAGCAGGGCCCTGCACTGAGAAGAGGTACAGAGGAAAGAAACAACATGGAAACTTGGTTTCTATTCAGGGACCATAGAAGCTCTGTGATACATACAAACCAATACAATTCCCAACTCATTCACTGAGACTCTGGGCTCAGATGATGACTGATTCTTAAAAGTTGGAGAGATGAAGATGAGCCTTGGAGCCTTTCTTCTGACAGGGCTCCCTACTGTTCTCTGGCATACTCCTGCCCTGGAGCAGGAGAGGAGTAGATGGGTACTGAGAGCCTTTGTCCTTTCTTTGAAATGCTTTATCTGTGGTCCAGGAAAGAATCCAGCTGGTCCCAGACAAAAGAATCCATGGAGAAGGAAGAGTTGACGTGTTGTGGAATAAAGAGGTCTGACTCTCTGGGCTGCCTCTGAGCTGCTTCCATTCTGAAATCATTTGCTTTTTCTTTTTCTCAGGATTCAAGGCATGGTGGGACTCTCAGTGACCTGGGAAAGCAAGGTGAAGTACTAGGAAATCAGGCTGCTAAAGCCTTTCACTGGGAGGGGTTGGTCATGGCACTCCTTCCCACCCCAGTGCCCCAGGTTTAAGCCTGAGCTGTTCAGGCTTGCTGTTGGAGGGAAACCCAGTCGATGGGGGAGGCAGCCATGAGATAAGAGGGCCTCCTGGAGCATGCTGACCTAAAGGTTTGTTCCCTGGGCTCCTCCCCAAAGTGAGGTCACTGAAGGCTCTGGTCATCACCATCTTCAACTTCATTGTCACGGTGGCAGCTGCCTTCGTCTGCACTTACCTTGGAAGCCAGTATATCTTCGCAGAAATGGCCTCGGTGAGTAGGCACTGGGCAGAGCAGGGAGCCCCAGGTGGGAGTGTTAGTAGGAAAGGGAGGACTATGTGAAAGTGCCTCTCACAGATTAGGTATTGAACAAATATTTATGCAGTAAATAAGAGGAGCATTTGAGCTGTCCAGCAGTCATGGGGGTAGATAATAACCTCAAGAGAATCCAGATCCTCTTGTCTTCCCTTTCCCCCAACTTGTGGGCTGGGTTTGGGTCTTCTCTATCCTTATTAGAGGTGTTGGATGCTGCAGAGCTGGATGCTGTCCTGCATCCCCTAAGCCTGGTTCTCTTCCTTCGCAGCGAGTACTGGCTGCATTGATCGTGGCCTCTGTGGTGGGTCTGGCCGAGCTGTATGTCATGGTGCGGGCGATGGAAGGCGAGTTGGGAGAGCTATAACTGATACTTCATCATCGAAGTGTGGAGAGGGTTTTGCGAGACTCCAGGCTCCCAGCTGCCAGTCACTGACTCTCAGTCAACCCATCAGGCTCTTTGTACTCAGCTCCAGTTAGTCAGAGGGCTGAGCCAAGGCTACCTGTTGTTCCTGTGGGGAGCCCCATCCTCTGTCAATTTCCAGAAGGAGCAGTAGAGGAGACTCAGACAACAACTGAAAATAACTGGTCTAACAGTACCTTCTCTTGAACCCTGTGCCCATCTGCCTTCTCCAGTCCATTCCGGGCACTGCTCATGCTGGCTTTTTTCCATTGGGAATAATTAGAATCCAGGCCTTCCCAGAAGTAGACCACACTGCTTGACTTGCCCAAGTGCACAAATCGATGGTCATCCTTGCTCCACACATTGTTGATGCAGACCTGTAATTTAGATCAGAAGTTTCCAAAAAAGCGGAAAGGATTCCCTTTCCCCAGGTTGTTCTGGAAGAGGAACTGATCAGAGGACATCAAATAAGAGAAAGACAGGTTGGTACAAGATGGTGGAACTGGAAGCAAGGCAGCTACCGTGTTGGAATCTTCATCCTCTTCCTTCTGCTTGCCTTTTTCACATTTTCTGTATGCTTCTGCCTGTCTCTACCCCTCAGCCCTCCTTAACCTTCCCATTACCCCTTGCTCTGTCTCCAAATATGAAAACAATTCAGATAGCAAAAGAGTATGTCTGCTTTTAATTGCAAAATCCCTTATGCTTTTTTGATTTGTGGGGAGACAATCTGTGGATTGTCTCAACTAATAAAGGGAGACATTCTTTATAGAGAGGAACAATTTTCAGATTTAACTATATGTATAAATATGAACATGAGTCAACATACACGTGAATACGTATATATATTGTTACACATAAGCCTAATGCAGGATATTTTACGTGGGTTCTTAAACATGTTTGGGTGAGTGTGAAAAATAGTATATAAATGTTCACCGTTGACTAATTGTTTTACATGATTGCTTTTGGTCTTAACAACAATCCTGGAGGTTGGAAATGGAAATGGTTTTAGGCACATTTTTCAGAAGACAAAACTGAGGCTGAGAGGCATCAAACGACTAGCTGTGGTCCTTCCTCTGGTAAATAGAGCCAAAGGCTCCTAGGTTGTCCTGGTGTCTCTGTGTGATGTTAAACTTCTAAGAACTTAGATTAATAGTGTGCTGATAGAATCTGTATAAGGCACTTAAAAATGCTATCATCATTAGTTATTTGTCCAATAAATATTTATCGTTTCCAGTGTATGTTTATTTCAAATCTTGTGACAACACAAAAGCTCAAAGATTTCCATAGTTCTGAGAATTGTTCAGGGTCTACTCCTAATGGTAGGGTCCATCTTTCCGTTCGTTCACTATATGAGCTCCTGTGGCCTTTTTGTTCCAGGGCTCTCTTCTCTTCTTAGAAACTGTACACTCATCGGCTCAGTAGATGTTTCCTCAACAAGTTTGCCAGTTTCTTCTTGATATGTATGAGTCTGAGCCTCTCAGGGCAATATTCTACATGAGAGGGAGGGTTTAGGCCCTTCTGTTCCACCATAGGTCACTTTGTTGAGAAATCATAGGATTTCTATTATTGTTTGGAAGAAATGTCAACAGTGAGAAAAAATGCAGGTGGTATTTTACAGTGTTTCTAGCAACCCAGACTGTTTGAGTTAAAAAGCTACACTGAGCTTTGTGGAGATTTCATGGCTGTGCGTACCTGTGCTGAACTCGGTAGGCCGGGGTGCCTGCGTATCTATAAGCTTTCACATCTTCCACGTACCTGGATTCAGGTTGGAAAACTTGCAAATGTTAAATAAAGAGCTGGCCTCCTCAAACGGCTTCTGACACAGGTCATCATCTCATGATTAGATTGGAGTCATTACACACACACACCCCTTTCTTTGGATGGGGTCTTTACCTCATCCCCACCCGCTCCTCATAAGCCAACAGGCTTCTGTGGCCTTGAGCACTTATTGAGAGCTCCTTTATGGGCCAAGCACTGTTCTAGCTTCTGGGGACAAAGAAGTAAAAGACCTAGTTCCTGCCAAGGAAATGGCCACTGTGCGAGGTGGTTTCCATCTGCAAGGGCAGAATTAGAAATAGAAATTGGGTGGCCTGTCCTCCACTTCTCATCGCAGGGAAGGGAACTTTATCTGCTCTCAGCCACCTCCTCCATCTCACCATACTGTACTTCCTCCAGTGCAGTCTGGGTCCAGGGCTTCCCAGGGAGAAAGGGGAGTACTTGGCAGGAGGCCAGTGGAACAAGAAGTTTGGGGCCTTCCCAGTTTCTCACAGCCTGCTGTATGCAGAGGGAGAGGGAACTAGCATGTATTGAGGGTGTTACACACCACAGGAAGCCCTTAGCTGCATTATTTCTTCTCATTCCCAAATAGAGAAGAGACAAGTATTATCATCCTCATTTTTCAGGCTCATAGACATGAGAGTTGCAAAGTTATGTAGCAGAGCCAGGTTTTGAATCCAGCACAGACTGATCGCAAACTCTGCTTTTCCCTCTGAAGCAAAGAAGCTCCGGAAGTGGAGGCAGCTGGAGTGTCCTGGAACCACTGCGACTAGGAGCAGGGAGTGCCAGCAGAGGCAGGGTCTGTCTGTCGATTAACTGTCCCTCTCACTAATCCCAGCAGAAGCCTGGGTAATACCTCCTACCCAGAATCTGTGTGGAACCTGGCCCTATTTAGGGATTAGGTCATGGAGATAAATTTCAAAAGCAAATGGCCCTCATCCCCATTTATTTGCAACACACAACAATCCAGATTAAGGTACAGAGTTTGGGTTTTATTTGGAGATTAGTTGGTATTACAGATGACGGTGATACCAAAACCCAATTTTGCCACGGGCACACCCCCACCCTAAATCTGTCTTGTGTCTGCAGCCCCAGGTCAGAGGGCAGCCGATCTGATCTTTGTGAAAATTAAATCAATGTAAGCCCCAGGCCCGTATTTCTACTTTATTACTTTAATATCACTCCCTCTTCAGATCCATGGTTCTGATTAATTTGCCCAGGTGGTAGGAGGTCAGGAGAGGGCGCCCTGAACTATAAAAGGGTTGGTCCCCAGCAGTCTAGAATTAGGACCAGCACGCTCGTCGCTCACTTAGCAGTTAGTGAGGAATGGCCTGAAGGACCCTCGGGTGAGGGGTGGCTGCCCTTTCTCCTTTAGAGGGAGAAGGTGTCATCAGCTGGAGTGAGAAGAATTGGGGACGAAGCCTGGCAAGAGAGGTGGAAAACATGGCCCCCTACGTCATCCCTCTGTAGGTACCTCCTGCCGAGATGATGGGCATATGCCCCAGGAGGGGCAGGGTGCTGGGTAGCAGGAGCCAGGCCCCACTCTATAGGACCCACATCTAAGCTGGCCTGGAGGACAGTGGAAGGGGAGGGATCCCTGAGCTAAACTTTCCCATAAGAGACCCCTCTTGTGTAAAAGGAGCGGGCAAGGGATCCACTTCTGATGTTCACTGCGCAGTCCTAAGGGGCAAAGTGGGCTGCAGGAGCCAGAGGAGGGGTCTTGCAAGTTCTGGACCTAGATTAGTGGTCCAGATTGGTGACAATGGCCGAGGCATAGATGAGGTCAGACAGACTGCCCAGTGAGGTCTGGGGAGTAGCTCGCTCTGAAGAAGAGTGGACCCCTGAATCCCCAGCTGGTCCCCATGGGGCTGCAGCTTTAGCCCCGGCCCAGCCTTGCCCTGGACCCAAGCCAGGAGCTGGACAGGAGGTATGTCGACACACTGAGGTGCACTGAGGTGTGTTGCTGGAGGGTGGAGGCTGGCCCGGTGTTCGGGGCTCCCAGGACTGCTGGATGGTGTCTGGAAGAGAATGAGACCTCTGGGGTGGCTCAGGCCTGGGGCTCAGACCTCCTGGCTTCCTATTCTTGATTCTCTTGGCCCGGCGGTTCTGGAACCACACCTGGTAAGGAAAGAGTCTCCTCTGGTTCCAGCACCTCTGCCTCCAGGCACAGGGAAACAGAATCAGGAGGCAGGATACCCAGAGAGAAGGGGCTGTGGGTCAAGCCCAGAAATTGACTGTGTGAGAGAACCCCCACCCTGAGAAGGAGTCACAGCTCACCTGTATCTTGGCCTCAGGAAGGCAGGTGACCCGGGCCAGGTGCTCACGGGTGCCAATGTCGGGGTAGGGCCGTGCTGCAAACACCCGCTCCAACTCCAGCAGCTGCCCTCTGCTGAAGGTGGTCCGCTTTCTCCGGTGGGGACCCAACCCACTGGTATGGCCTGTGGGCCAGGGTGGGGGTCAAGCCAGGACTCTGCAAGAACCTCCATCCCAGCCTCAAAGCCCGCAACAAATCCTGAAGCCCCTACTCCCCACCCCTCTTTAACCTTCCCCCATCACACCCTTCCCCGCATCCTCCCCGTGCCCACCCTGTCCCCACCAGATTACCTGTTGGAGATGCATCTACAGGGCTCGCCATGGAGCTGGCAGAGAGTGAGGAGCCAGAGGGCCATGCCAAGGCTGTGCCCACACCGGACCCCTCCGTTTGGGGTTTTATCCTGCTCAGAATGGCTGGCCCCGCCTCCAGCAGGGGAGAGATTTAGAATCCAGCTCGAGGCTAGGCAGAGAAGTCCCGGAGGAAAGAGGGAAGACCAGTGGTGGTGTTGGGGCTTCCACGGGAGTATGGATGGGGCAAAAGTTTTGTGGCCTCTGCTCCTCCTCACAAAGGAAGCTGGTCCCAGCCCCTCTCCTCAAACCTTAAACTCTGGCAGTCTGTGTCTGAAATCCTGTACCTCATGAAAATCCTCCCAGGGCTTCTTCCAGGAAGCCAGCGAGATCCCTCATTCCAATGCTCCCAGTGCTTCAGCTGACCCTTCTGGAGTCCTCAGTGCCCCGGTGCTGGCTGCCTTTCGGGGAGAGTGGGTGGAGTCCTGTCCCACAACTGAGGACTGGGCTGGGGAAGCTGGGCAGCATGAGGGTGATAGAGGGACAGCAGATGAGCTGGAGCCACCCCAGCCTCAGTGGAGCTGGGGAGCAGATGTCACCTCCCTCGGGTGGTATTTCAGATCACCCTGGGTCTACTTCAGAGCTTTGCCTGCACCTAACCCTTTCTCCCTGGCCCCTCAAGAGCCCAGATGTGCTTCCTGGATCCAGGAACCTGGAACCAGAAGAGGTTCCACAGGTACAACTGAGGAGTTTTAAGAAAGATGTTTGTTTTTACAGTGTCCTCATCCTTGGAAGTCTTCTGGACCACTTTTCTAAGAGAAGTGGGTGCATCTGAATTTCCTTTTAGTTCCTGCCCTTCCCTCTCTCTCCTAACCTCAGTGCCCCCCCACCCAAGACCTAAGACAGAGACCTTAGAGGCACGTCTCAGGCGTGGGTATGGGGGAGCACGGTCACCAGTTCCCCAGGGACTCAGGTGTTTGTGAGCTAACCACATTTCAGGCCCAGGATAGACAGAAAAGCTGAGCCAGAACCCACCACCTCCTGCCCCTTCTTTCTCCTCCAAGACCCTAGTCAACTCCAAGAGGCAAAGCAAGCCCAGAGCTTGGCAACTCCTGTCGTCATCAGAGAGGTTCAAGCTCCTGCTTAGCTGCTGGTGGATTGCTGGGGGCTGCTGAGCTCAGGAGGAAGGCTAGCACTCATGAGGCCCTCCCCAGCCCACAGCTTTTCTAGTTCACAGAGAGGGCCTGAGCCCAACATGGGCTGGACACAGGGAGGCTCTTCTCTATCCCCTCCCCCAAGCCATCCTGACAGCCCAGCTTCCCCTCCTTTTCCCAGGCAGATCCCTGCCTCCTGCCCATCCAGCCCAGTGAGGACAACAGTCTTAAACTCAGGGCCAAGGGAACTTTATTGGGCTGGGAGGAGGAGGTTGGAGGAGAGAGCAGCAGAGGGTCCAGCTGTGTGGCAGAGGGCTCAGATTCCTACTTCTGGTCAGGGGCTGGGCAGCCCAGCCAGTACTGGGCGATGGAGCGTGGGTAGGGAGGTTTCACATTGTCCACCTGCCGTGTGCGAAGGTTGACTCGGTAATACTTGTCTGGAAGAGAGGTCAGGAGAGGGTGTGTGAGACCCAGCCTGGCCCCACCTGGAGACACATCTGTGTCTACTTCTGCCTGGAGAAAGACCTGGGTATCTCCTGGAAGGAGAGCTGTATCCACAATACAGCTAAGGACTTCCAGCCTGGCTTTCTGGAGTCACCACTAAAGGGCTGTGTTCAGCCCATGGGGACCAGGGACAACAGGGAAGACACTGGCTAAACCAGCTACAGGGGTGGCAGGGGTTCCCACCTCCTGAGAAGAAGTAGACGCTCTGGATGGGCTCACAGGTGGCAGGCACAAGCCAGTCCATCTCGTAGTTATCATAGTTGTAGTCTCCTAGGCTGCTCTCCTCACTGGAGAACCAGGACAGCCAGACTGAACGGGATGGCCGGCGGGGGCTCTGGCCGCGGCCACGGCCGCGGCCACTCCGTGACCGGTAGCGTTTACGGTTGCGACGTGCCGACTTGGGCTTCTTGGCCCAGGAGGAGCGGGGAGCTGAGCCTGAGATGTAGATGCGGCCGGCCATGGCCGCATCCACTTGCGTGGGCACACCAGGCCAGTCCTGGCTGATGAACTGGGGCTGTCCAGCACCACCTGTGGCAGGGAAGGGGTTGATGGGGAGCCTTGAGAGCCTGGACCCTGCCCACAGCAGGGCCTTTAGAGTTTATCAGATGCCCAAGGATGGGCTGTGCCTTGCCCAAGGACACACGGCAACCTAGTGACAGAGCCCAGCAACCCGACCTTCTGACTCCCTGTCCGATGCTCTTTCCTCTGGCCTCCCTCCACCATATCCTTCCCCAGTGGCCTCAGTCACAGCCCCTCCTTCTGCTGGCTGTGCCCTTGCCTGTGCTAGGCAAAGTCCAAGGTGTGGGGTCCAGGTAGAGGCAAGCCTCCCCCCAAAGGTCAACAGAAGCAAAGTCTGGCCTGAGCAAACAGCTTTTGATCAATGGCTCCACAATCCGCCCCCTCCAGCCAGCCCGGCCCTCCCCCTCCCAGGGGGATCCCAGCCCTCTTGAGGGGGAAGCAAGGCTTGCCCTCCCTCTATACCAGAAGAGCTGTCCCAGAAGAGAAGTTTGAAGATGTCCTCCCAGGTGGGCTGCTGCAGCAGGACAAAGTGTTCAAACACGGTCGACAGGGAGCCGCCTTCACACTCCTCCTGGCTGGGTTGATGCTGGAACTGGTACTCCCAGTACTGTTTCCCTGGGGAGGGGTGTGCATGAGCAAGGCTGGAAAGCCCAGAGGCTGTTGAAGTTAGGAGCTCCTGGGGGAGGGGGGTATAATCTGAGGTCTGTCCCCAGTGAAGTGTGGAGGAAAACTGCTCCACCACCTGCTCCTTCTCCCCTCCACCCCCCGAGTACCCTTGAAGAAGTAGACCCGCTCCCGGCCACTGTAGCTATGAGCGGGGAGGGCCAAGGCTGCATCCACGTTGTCCGGAATGCCTTTGAAGCCATCAGAGATGTTGCGGGGGTAATCAGGGTCCAGGACACCATCCTCAAAGCGCCAGTACTGACTACCCTAAGGGGTAGGGAAGGAGGAGAGGGGTGAGGAGGCGGCTGGCTGGGCATGGAGACAGGGTCCCCCACCCAAGGCAGCAGTCCCAGTTCCAGGCTTGTCTGCCAGGACCTGGAGCCTTGGGCTTCCCTGTCCTCACAGAGCCCCAGCCAGGGACCACAGGCTGCGATCCAGCCTTCTTGCCCATCCTGTTCCTGGACACAACAGCCCTCAACCCCTGCCTAGGTACCCTCGACCCTGACCCGGAGCCCCTGGGCCTGGCACCTTGAAGAGGTAGGTCTTCCCCTGACAGTTGATGCGGGTGAAGGCAGCATCAATGGGGCCCTCAATGCCCCAGACATCTTGGATGAGCTTGGGGTACCCAGGCCTCACTGCCTTTTCATCCAGCTCATAGCAGTACTGCCCTAGAGTGGGGGAGGTTGTGTGAGGGAGGGGATGCTCCTGGGGCAGACCCCCACCCCCAAGACTGCCCCTGGAATCACCTCGGAAGGCAAAGAGGGAACCATTCTTGAGGTCAGTGAAGGCATCAAAGGGCTTCCCACTGCACAGCTCCTCCTCTGCTGGGGATTCAGAGATCCTTTCATCAGTGATCTCGGGCCTTAGGGTCCCCGCCTCAGACCCTGAGGTGCCCTGCCCAGGTCCTGGGGCCTCTTCTTCATGGTTCAGAACAGGTGCCTGCTGAGAAGTCTCTTTAGCCTGCGTCTGCAGGTCAGGGCTCTCTGGCTGTAGGTTGTCGCCGGTCTCGTTGTAGTCCTGGACTTCATACTCATCTTCTGGCAGAGTGAATACATCTCCGCGAGTCACTGCAGGCACCAGTGGGTGGTGGTGAGTCACCAGCTGCAGAGGGGACCCCAGGCCCACCCAGCCACTCTGAACGCACCTTGGGGCTTGCACTCAGCTATGTAGTCGGCGCAGCAGCTCTGGTAGTAAGAGCAGAGCTCGTCGCATTGACACTTCAAGTTGGCGTTGAAGCCCTCAGTGCAGCGGCCCTTGCACGACTCTGTGGGGAGAGGGTGTCAGTTGGTAAGGCCAAGCTTGGCCACCCTTGCCCACCCTACATTGGCCCAGATGGCCACCAACACCCTCCCAAACCTTGGTCAGCCAGTACAGCCCATGCCAGCAGGGCCAGCATCAGAAGGGGCTTTGGGGGTGCCATGGCAGGGCCTCTAGCTGCGAGCCTTGGTGAACTGGGCTCTGCGCTCTGCGCTCCCTCTGGTCTCCACTCTGATGCCTGAGGAAGGGAGGGAGGGCACCAGACAAGAGGAGCTGCCTTTTCTGCTGCTCTGTTTGCTCAACCTCCAGCCCAGCCCCCAGTGCGCCAACCCCTGCTGCAGCAAAGGGTCATATTCCTGGAACCCTGGGCCTGGGAGAGCTGCGAATAGGATCCTTGCCAAGCCCAGGGTCATCTCAGAAGGGGAATAGCACAGTGGGTCTGGAGGGCAGAAAAAAGGCCCACTCTGCCACTCCCTGGCTCTGTGACCTTGGCAGACTGCTTTTCCAGCCTTAGTTTTCTTTTTGGTAAAATGAGACTAATAATACTTGCCTCGTGGGATGTTGGGAGATTACATGAGCTAAAGCAGACACAATGCCCAGTGCCTGGAGTAGCCCCAACTTCTTTCCCATAAATGGTTATTGATCCATGATCTGTTTGATCAGGCACATCCCTGGCCGGGTGGCTCACCCACCCGTTGTGTATTTAGGGCAGTGAAAGCGGGGTAGGAGGAATGCTGGTAAGCACTCTGGGTAAATTTTTTTTTATCATAAAAGAACAAAGTTCATATCTGGGTTCATCTCTTGGGTGTATTGATTTCCCCAAGCTGGTCTTCACAGCACAGTAAGTTGGGTGAACATTAACCCTTTGGACTGGATTTGATTCCCGAGTCTCCCACTAATTCAGTGCTCCTGGACAAGCTACTCCCTGTCCTCGCCCTCAGTTTCCCCATCCGTAAAGAGTGGCCTAGTTCCCCACACTTTCAGACTCGCATGAGAAGTAGGATCCTTCTACCCAGAAAATGCCCACTGGCACAGAACTCCTGATCCTGTGCCCACTTTCAGAGCTCCACAGACCTCCTGAAGTCCCCCCACCACCTGGAGGAAGTGAGCCTGAGTTTCCAGCTGACTTTTTCTGTTCTGTAATCAGAGGGGGGGTGTGACTTTGGGCAGTGTCTTCTCTATGGGCCTCAGTCGGGTCAGATGTTAAATGGGAATACTAACCCCTACCCAGCAGGCATGTTGTAAGGTTTAATTGAGAAACAGGCATAAAGGGCCTCAAGAGTTGTACAGAGTCGTTATTATTATGGCATTAACCACTAGAGGGGAGAGGGCACCCTCAACAGTGTTGCCCTCATATTCCGGTGCCACGGGGGGGAAACCGAAGCCGTCGTCACGCTCTTCACCTGCATCTAGAGGTGGGAGGGCCGGACGCGACTACAGGAGAAAGGCCTGGCCAATGTTTGGGCGTGGCTAAGGAAGGCTTGTGGGTGGGACTGCGCAGGCGGCAGGGGTGGAGCCCCGAGTGGCGGGGCGTCGGATCCGGCTCCGCGGCTTCTCAGGGGCGGGGCTGCTGCAGAGCATCTCTCTGCCAGAGGAGCCCGAGCTGGAGCCTCGCTTTGTTCTGGTTGCCGTCTGCTAGACCCTCCGGCGTCTGGATCCATTCCTCGCCTCCTCCGGCCGCCCATCCCCTGCATGTAGGCCTGCATCCCCTTCCCCAACCGCGTCGTCCCAGATACCGCCCTCACCCCTCCCTCAAACTTCTGGCCAGCGCCCTTGCCGGGTACCCTCCTCTACATCCCTCCCTCCTGCATCATCTTCTCCCTGGCCGCTTCCCAGGTCCCCCTTTTCCCAACGTCTGGGTCGCTCCGCCCGGCCCCGCCCCTCCAGGCCAGGGATGTCCCCCGCAGCCCGGCGTCCATGGTCCTGACGCTGCTGCTCTCCGCCTACAAGCTGTGCCGCTTCTTCGCCATGTCGGGCACACGGCCCGGCGCCGAGCGGCTAGCGGTGCCGGGGCCGGACGGAGGCTGCGGCGCGGGCCCGTG